CGAAGACTGCGCCAGATCAGCCCATTTCTGGAATTACTAATAAACACACTGGCACTAATTATAACACTGACAGATATAACACAGACCAAAGAAAATAGTGTTGTTCAAAGTAAATATGTATTGGAAAATAAATAACTCAAACATAGAATTGCTTTCACAAGTTAACAAAAATGTAAACATGGAATTAATAGGATCTTAAAATGGAACGCCAATGAATAAATGCGAGAGACGCACGAAGTAAAATGAAATGGTTCAAGAAATCGTAAAATTTAGCGTGTTTAAATTTAAAATATAATGTGGTATTTAAAAATCGTAATCATCATCATCGTAAGAGGACCACTGCAAAAATTCTAATATCCTAAAGGCAATTACAATGGCGTCATTAATATTTCGCAGAATGCAAATGGTGATAAAAGATGGCTGATTCATGAATACAATAAAAACGCACGGATATATTACAAAGCGATAATTACTGCTTTTTAGTCAATATTATACTTATTATACACGATTTACCAAGTCATTTTACGAGTCACGCAAGACTAAAAACGACCAACACCATATTACCTAAACATATTTACATTTATCAATGTAATAACGACAAGTTAAGAACGTTTTGGCAGAACGATCAAAATCTTTTACGTATTAGAGGGCAATCCAGACTCATATTGATTTAGTTTGTCTTATTAAACCACCATAAAAAAAGCAAAATTATTAAATTTATAACGTTCTAAACCTTATCTTACCGCGGCAGAAAGTAATAAGACAGCGTGGAATCCCAAACACGTGTCAGTGGATTGGTGTAGGGCGGAATATTATTTAAATTTAGAAATGTTTCGAGATGCAGTCAAAAATATGAATCGACGCGTACTCCGCGTTGTCACGAAGCGTTGGTTACAAACAATAGCCTCACACAGGTTCCTCATGCACACAAACGTCGCTGCTTCGAGATTGGCTGCGATATCAAACGTTCACAACTACATTGACCATGTGATTCCATTGCACGATTTCGCGCTCTACTCTGGTGTTTTTGTGCTAAAGTAATATACGCACATGTCTGATAAATCTTTCGATGCCCACGCAGTTTATGAATTGTAAACGTTGCAGTCATCAGAGCAAAATAATCAGGTTTTGTAACCTCGAAACACTTGAATGAAACAGTAAACCCATATCAAACTCACTTTATATTGTTTTAATATTATATTATAGTCATATTGGGAAATCGTCCAAGTAAATTTTTATTGCTATTAAAACAGTAGAGGCAGGTTTTTATAAAATTAGGATTGACATTAGGCTCAGTGAAGGATATAAAACCGCAGCCAGACGTAAACCAGTTCTTTGTTATAAGTACATAGACGTATAGTCAACTTATGACTGACCCTCTACTGTAGACGAACCAATTTATCACGTTCAAGTTACATTGCGGTTTAGTGATACGTTTTTCGCTAGCGTGGCTGTTGAGTTTAAGGCGATATATGTCTGTGTCATTCAGTATACTCGCTAATGTGAATAGTTTTCTGTTTCATGGTAGCGGCAACACACACAATCGCCCTTGCGGCACAGAAATTACTGTTTTAGAACGAGGACATGTTTATAACACGCTTGGCGGTACTCGACAGTATAGATTTCTGAAACGAAAATAGATACTGATTGTGTTGTACTTGAAACTGTTTAAGATGAAATGTTACACATCTTAAACTACCATTTATATTGAGCTCTTAAATGTAAATAGTTTGAAAACAAGAACTGAATGTGGGATCCGTGAACGATAGGAAACAGACACTGGAAATGTTTCGTAGAATACAAATAACAAAAGAGTCGAGATTCCTTTTAGCTTGTGCAAAAACAAGTAAGAAAACGGTCTGTCTTTACAAATGCAAAGACACGTTTTTGTTGGATTTTACGGTAGCTGTTGTACATTAGATATATTGGACCAGTTTAAAAATAAACATCTTAAGGAAACCAGGTGTCTGGGCAATGATAATGACACGTACCAAGCAGGTGATTCTTCATACTAGAGGAAATCCAACCTGTTCTTAACAATTAAGCCAGTTTCAAAACAAGCATACTTGCTTGCATATGATAGTTTTGTCGAAAAAGACAACGAAGACTTTATATTGACCGGATAAATGAATCACAAAATTGTTTTCGCACAAAAGCCAATCAATGAAGCGATGCATTATAAAAAGACGCCTGAATCATTGTACAAAAAACCATACCGTCATTATCAACCAGGACGCATGCACATACGTGCTAATTTTAGAGCTGTAAATTGAAAAACGTACTTGTATCCTCAAAGTTGTTTATCAGTCACACTGATTCAATATTTGAATCATTTATGTTGAACTGTCGTCATGACAGTCCTAGTTCTCATGGAAACATATGGCGACGCTGCATTAAAATTCGCAGCCTGTGTTTATTACACCAAATTGGGTAAAACATTAAGTCTGTAAGTACTAAAGTTATGTTGGTCGCGAAAGGTGTGTAATTAAACGTGTGTGGTTGCTTAAACGACGAGGATAAGCAATTTAAAATGGTAAAGGAAACATAAATTAACCAAACTACGTAATTCTATTTGGGCTTACGAAGTCTGCTTGATACAGATAGCACTATAAGTAATAATTGTAATTGTGTGGATATCTAACCATTTAATCGAAACTGTACGAGTACACTGAGGGAAGGAAAAGAAAGCTACACGTCTTTTATCCTACCAGAATAAAGGCCAGTGTCTCTCATTGTACCGACGCGCCACTTAATACTACAGGAAGGTTTCAATTTAAGTCCGACACTGACAATCGAAGGATGTACAAAGGAATTTATTACTTTGAATTATTATTGCGTGTCGCAATCACACGTACCATAATGACCGCGTAGGTGGACACTCCTTGAATATCATTTGTTTCAGTTGAGTCAATCGCTTCTTTCAATGTTAATTTATCTCTGTGTTTGTAGACGTGATACGAATATCTATAATCAAGTACGTCTACGCTTCTTTTATGTGCGAATTAGAACCGAATCAATAGGTATCACGATGCTGTTCGCAGCTTGTTGCTATATCAGAAATAAGAAAGTATAATGGAACGGCATTCAATGATCGTTTTAAAGCTTTCAATCATTTTTGAAAGTAGACCGATAATGCGATAATGTTTTACCGCAACGAAAATTTATCCGCAGGACTTTCACCGTGCTTATAACCGATCGAATGTCGAGTAGGGGCAGTGGACAGGCCACACAGAGAGGAGGGCCTGCAGCGACACGCAAATTCGCCACTCGAAATGCAACGTGACATGACGAGGTAGTGAAGTGGGAGGGTGAGGTGGCATTCCTAGCCCAGGAAGCGGGAGGGGGGCGGTCATCGACCGTCCTCAGGCGGCCGCGCATAAACTACGCGCCGCATAAGGTCAATACAGTCGAGCCAGCGGCGACGCCGACCGGTCCGATCAAATGATACTCGAGGCGAAACCGTTTCGAAATACCATTGTTCCATTGACGAGTTGCGATACATGCCCGAAAATCAATTACGGGCCCACATGCGAAATCTAATTTGTGTTGCGCAAGAGAGGATAATATTATCCGTAAATCAGATTGCGAATTACTCGTTTTGTTGTCACCAGACATGTCGAACCCGTTTCGCCGACAGGTACCTACTTTTATGACGGATAACGGCTGAATAAACAAACAAAAATTGGACCACAACGAGTAATTACGTCTATAAAAATTACCAGTGTTTAATTAATATACAACGTTATTTCTATTGTATAATTATAGTGTAATTTAATCATTTTAACCCACATAGATTAAAATGATTAAATGACACGAAGATGTACGACCTTTGTAGCATGTCATGATTGAATAACTCGTAAAAATAATCCATTAAGCTCCGTCACAGCTGATATCACTGATAATTCACACATTCAAATATATGTCCACTATTAGTAAAGATACGGTAGACTGACATTGTGATATCTGGATAAATGTACGCTAGTACATAGATATCGTTGATAAATGTACGATAGTACATAGATATCGTTGATAAATGTACGCTAATACATAGATATCATTGACAAATGTTTATTATAACCTATCGAGATCTTATTATAACCTGCTAAAATCCATAGCGTACTGAACTACAACCCCATAAGTTGTTATCCTGTTGATTAAATTCAAATTTAAGTTCTAAGTAAATGTCAAAGTAATTTCAAGTACATACAAGAATTGTTGATTTACAGATGACTTCATTAGTCGGTAGATGGAAATTTAGAAATAAAAATTTCAAACACGTCAATGACAAAATAAGACAATAATAATTTTGTACTTACCTTATATAGATTACATTTATCAGGTTTCAAACGGCTGCTTGTCATTCTTGAATCACATTTTCTGTTCTTTTTGTTTTTTAAAGAACCGTAAGAATTTACAAAATAATTGTAACCTAAAATATTTGTACTTTTTTAGCCCGTCAAGAGCCCATTAAGAATGACTGGGCTGTGAAATGTGCCGTTTCAATGTCAGCAGCTAAAACCATTTTCAAGTTTAGTTTCCTTAATTTTGCTCGTCTTGAATACGTATTCAACATTTATAATATGCGCAGCTTTTAATTTCATTGAAGTAAGTAGACATTACTTCGGCGAGAAATGAATATCTTCTGAAGAACAATGCTAATACGGTTGATGATGAACTATATCAAACCTTTATATGCAAGTTCTAAACTATCTTAATTATATTCACAAGTTCTTCATCGCGGACATACAATCCGTAAAGCAATTAACTTGTTCCAATGTGGCGTATATTTATGAATTATTTTGAGTTGGAGTTCGTCTAGACGCGATATGACTTACTAAGACCACGTGAAAAAAAACGACAGAATCTTATATTAAAGTTAGTACAATAATATAGAAATTACCTCTTAATCAAACTAAACGGCATATATCCAGACGTCAAGGTAGGCCCAGGTAATTCATATCGATCCAGAATATGTGTCGTGGAATATCAAATGGACTTACTGTCATATCCAGCCGTCCAGGACCACATGGAGACCATCGCCAGCAGCCAGTGATACATGTGTCCTTCGATCTTCCAATAGATGGAAGGGAAGTAGGGTCTGATGAGGCGCAGCCCCATCATCCACACCACGTACGCGGGGATGCAGTATAAGTTGTTGAGAACCGCGAATGCCGTTCGCACCACGATTCGCAGGTACCAGCTGAAACAGCAGGGACGCGTCGGTTCATCATGACCGCCTCGCCGCGTGTCGCGCGAAACGCAACCCTCGGGCCGGGCTCAACAGCGACAAGAACGACTGGTGATACGGAAGGTGACGTGCGACACACCACAGTTGAGTGACACGACCGACAAGGGTTCCGTGACCTACCGACACGAGGCGAGATGGCACCGTACCGCGTTCTCCCTGCTGACAGCTGCCGAGATTCGTGGGCTTTCGTCGGACGTGGACAACGGTGCTGCGCCGTGCTCAATAAAAACACAAACGTACATTCGACGATATTTATTAATGGAATCGTTCACCGGTTCACTGTCGGTTATTTCGTAAAATAGACTGCGAGTACAAATTTAAAAAGTGCCCGTCGGCGAGCGACCGAATCGCTCGCCGGCGAGCTAACATGCGATTTCATTTGCGACACACATTTTACACCGATTGACGTAACATTAACTCGTACGACTCGAGCACACATAGACAGACATACACAATTTTTAGTTTACGTTGCTTATTACTGTGGCACGACCGCGGCCGGCCGAGTTCGTCGTGTAAAATTAATACAAAGTTCATTTATATAAAATTAAAAAACGACATCGGACCGCTGAAATTATACAAAAATTACAATATTAAAGACTGTACACTATCTAATATATACAATAGTTGCCAGCATAGATATGTGCGGGGGCTTTATATACAGGGCGGTGGGTTTGGTGACATGACCTCCCACGCGTTAGCAGATCACACATTATAATCGTGGGCCATGAGGCCGTGCACCTGTTCGAGGCGATAAGCGAGTCTCTGCTTCTGCGAGAACTCGTCCTCCTCTAGCGTCACCATCAGCTGCTCGTTGTATTTAACCGCATACGCGTACAGCTCGTTAAGTGCGCAATTCGTGTTAAACTCCTTCGTATGGAGTCGCGACTCTTCGGCTAACATCGCGTTCATATCCTGATCTGATATAGCAGGCATTAACTTAATATCCGCGTAATAGCGTTCGACCCATTCCTTGTACACTGGAATATCTTTCGCGTAAAGAAGCTTAGACGAGGGCGAATCTTTGCCGAGAATGTGATCTGAGGTAGAGCAAGAATCCATGAAAGTTTGCGCGATTACAGACAAACAAGAATCTACCGTATTCGACTTGTGTACGTCGAAAACAAAGTTAGGATTTTTAATCAGATTTACCCAGAAACGCAACGGAAGCGAATTGCTTTTCCAAGTGTGTACAACTTCGGGATCGGAGATTGCGTGTTGTAGCGCTTGGTCATCGAGAAAATCGAACATGTATTTTATAGCTAGAGGTAACGCTGAGCCACGGTGCGCCGTGCTGAAAATAGTCTCGAATAAATCATCTACAAACTTTTGTAGCGTACCCTTAGTAGCGAGAAGACGTGTAAGGTATATTTCGGAGACCATTTTATTTCCACGCTCTCCCTCTTTGTGTGTGTCACCGTCGTGATGCCTCACTAAATGCCAATATTTGAAACCGCCGCCGTGTTCGTATTTAAGCGGGCTGGCCGGTGGGCTCGCCGAACCGTATTTACCGCGATTCAATGTCTCGTAAGTGTGTGATTTATCGTTCTTTTCCATATTGGACAGATTATAAACGGAACTTTGTTTAGCTACGAGACTCAGACAAGCGCCATCGGGTACGCGATAGTGATTAAGTGTATTAAGTTTACGCCATTCGCCTTCGCATTTAGTAGTACTGTCCTCGTCATAGAGAATCAATCGACCGCAAGCGCCCGTACGCCACTCCAAGTCCAGCTCGTCGCGACTCGGCCTCTGAGAATACGGAGTTGCCCGATAAATGGCATCTAAACATTTCTCTTTCACCTGACTTATAGTATCACAGTCAAGTACCTTCACTTGCACGTTTTCGGTAATGGCTTCTAAACCGCTGACAAAGAAAGTTTGTTGCGATATAGATACACTCACGGTCATAGGTTTAAAATCAATCGACTGTCTAATTAGTTTTTCTTCGCTTAGGGAATACCGCGCCTCTGATGTTATAGCGTCTACAGGTCCTTTGTCGACTTGACCTTTCATTGACCTAAACAAAAGATACAACGGTTCACCGGCGCACTCACGAAGGAATTTGTATAACAAGAAAGTAAACCAAGCGCTTAGCATTTTCTCAGCAACACTCTCAGTGCGCCTAAGCAGTAATTTGGGATGACTCTTACCTTCCATGCATTTTTCGATTAGTTCTGCGAGCAACGTCTTTAATACATCGGTGCAGTATTCCATCTTACTTTGTAAAGTTACCATAATAAGAGAAGCCACATTAACACGATCACGCATTGAAAAATATCTATTGCTTTCTAAAGTACGAATAAATAATAGAAGGAATGTTTTGTTCATAATCAACTGTCCAAACATCCTGAGACCTTTGTCTTTCCTAATAAGCTCTGGGCGTTCCCATTGCAGGACGGCGTGTTCATCAATGTTCGGGAACAGTATTTTCATTGCGTATGTACGATAGTCAAGGAATGGTATACCGCCCGTTACGTCTCCAGTCAGATCTGTCATTTCAGTCTGTAACTCTGCAAATGCCTCTTTGCATTCCGCTGCTACTCGTAACTCTAAAATATCCATTTGTTCTTGCATATTCTTTAAAACTCTAATATTTTCAGTTGATTTTCTCCTATACATAACTAGAAACACGACAAAGACTAAAATGAGTATTACTATACTGGCAACAACACCGAATAATATTGGCTTACCGATAGCTGCCTGTAGGCCAGCCTGTGGCGAATAAGATAATTTACCAATCTTATACATGAGTGCACGGCCCACTTTAACTACAACTTCGGGTGTATCCACGCCGTCTGGCAACTCGTCTCGCGACGGTGGCCTACACGTCAATTGATGCCTCGAAAGAGACGTTACGTTACACAAACTATCGCCTATGTGAACTTCTACATCGTTTTCAGTACACGCTCTATCTAAATTCTGACCATTAATGGTCAAGTATTCAGATTTATAATATTTAACATCTTCATCAAATTTTTCATAAATTGGATCCGGATAAAGCAAAAACGCATCCCCTGTTTTACTAGTAAGATTTTTCACGCTTTGTACGTCATCCATATTGAAACCATATTCCAATTCCAAAGGTCTATCCGGGTCGAGAATTAGACCTGCGCTTTCGATTCCAGGAGACTCACAAATTAAATGGGTTTGAAAATCGACTCTATGACAAGGAGCTATGTATGGTCTATTATCATGATATACGTAAATCTGAGGGTTCTGCACAGAATGGAAATTACGGCCCATAACTTTTATATTTATCCCACCAGATGGAATGCCTTTAGGTTGTTTTCGTTGTGTACTTGAAGGCGGACCAGATTCCACAGAAACTACGACAGGATCTTCTATGTATTCAAATTTTTCCTGTTCTATAGTACGTAGACCGTTATCAAATTTCATTTTTAATGTACCCATTTTAAGTTGATATGAATGACTAGTCCTACAAGTAGCCATATCGCGTTTTACACTCAAAATTGCGCAAGGCATATCGTCAATTGACGCTTCAATTTTACTTCCCGCATCGAGATATTCCCCTGTGATATGTAATATAGTACCCCCCGATTTTGGACCGTATTTAGGATGGATAGAATTAATTTTAGGATTTACGAATGCATAGTGATTCCTGGACTCACCACGATAATCAGCAACGCGAACTACCACAGGACCATCCCTAGGTACTTCTTGCCCAGGTCCATCAACCGTACAAACGATACGCCTAGTTTTAACATACAATTCGATAATAGGTTGGCATTTAATTCCTGCAATAGTAACCCCGTTATAAATATCAGAAATATTGCGACCTAGGTTTATGCCTTCGATGGTTATATTAGTTCCGCCGTCCCACGGGCCTAATTCTGGTGTAAACGAGTGAATCTCAGGATTAGGACACGTTTGTGTACGGTTCAACCAAACACTGGGTGCACCACATTGCTCTTGAACTTCACATCTGTCAGAACCCTGACACCAACCACAACCGAATTTATCTGGAAGAGCTAGACACATACCACAGTTGTCTGCCATATCGTTACAACGATAAATAAGGATATGTGTATTGTCTGGATTATCTAATGGTTTAGAGCCACCCCAAATTACTGCGAACGAAGCAGTAATATTAGGAGCACGCGATGTGTAAGTAAACTCTACGGCTTCGCAATAAATAGTATCAGCAAGAAGTTGAGCATTAACGTGAGTGACGCGACCTTCTATATTGAATTGACAAACAAATCTAGTTTGGACTATAAATTGGCCGATGATATGAACTTTAACTTTTATAGCTTTCTTTACACCCGAAGGAACCAAGATTTCGTTGGTACCGTCAGACGTAGAGTTTATAGTTGGACAAAAACCGGGACCGGATCGATAGCTCGGACCGATTCTGCTCACACCGGTAACTAAAATATCGTTCCTGCAATTTTCAGCTGTATCGTGAGTGCACCGATGACCGTCGACACACCAGTCACAAGGAAAGGACGAACTGACGCACTGAGTACACGAGCTGTACGTGTTGCAATCGAAAAACGTAAAATTGGTAGCTACAAAATCAGGTCCCTGTGTAGTGCGCACCGACAATTTAGCCGTGAAATGATGTTGACCAGCGGGAATCGGTGGGAGCGTGTCGGTGCGCGGAGTAGTACAATTTACACCATAAGGTTTTCTAGTAGCATTGGTTATCAAAGTACGATCTAAAGCAGTAAATGCACATAAGAATTGTCCGTTAAGAGTCGGCAAGTTTTCAATAACTAAATCTAAGGTTCTAGCAGTCGTTCGCTGCAATTGATTTGGTGTTACTTGAGTAATGGTTGTGCAACGGCCACTACGATACGAGATCCAATACAGAGGATCTTTAGCCGCATCTTGGCAGTCCGATCTGAGGCTACATTTGTTCTCTAGAGAACACCATCCACAATAAGGGTCTTTGGCTCCGAGACACGTTAAACAAGATTTATAGACGCTACACTCTTGAACTTTCACTTTAGACACTTTGCGTTCAGTCATCACATATAAATGCATTAATTGAGTATCGAAGAATAAGTCTTTATTCACTGGTGATCCTTCGTCTACCACAATGTCGCCGTACTCAAACGCAGAGTTCGCACTCTCAACTACGATCTTTTTCAGATGTCCCTGGGCCGTGCCAGCGAACACGACGGTATAATCACCTGTTGCCGTAGCTGCTACTGCTGTTAGCCTCTTACTGAATTTAGCTACAGGTACTGCTTCAACGGGTTGCTCTCCTCCGAGAGGTGTATTTACATCGAGTCCACAAAAATCTTCACTGATAGATTGCAATTTAGTTCCGATACATGGGTGGGATGGTGATATGAAATCCAAACCACGAGATCCATTGCCGCTGAAGCATGTTTTTATATTTTGCATAAATTTACGACGAATCGCTTTCAGAGAGTAGACACATAAAGCTGATACGTCTGAAGGTGTGTTAGTGTTAATCGACTCACTTTGACTAAAAGCAGCAAACAGAACGTCATGTTGAGCAGTTATTCCTAGTTCTCCAGCCAACACAGACCCAGCTTTTCCTACGAAAGCTGCTTGTACTAGGTTGTAGCCATAATTGCCACCACCTTCTCCCATGCAAGACATAGGTATCTCAGTATAAGAGTAATAATTCTCATCATCGTGACAAACACGAACTAGTTTGCTGTAATACGTATCAGAACCAACTCCTCTTAGCTGCGTAGTCAAGAAGTAACTAAATCCCTCAGAACTGAAACCATAAACGTAGTTTATAGGATATCGTTCTCGAGACAGAGAATTGACAAACATTCGTGTTCCAGTTGTAACTGCGGTTCTGGCAATCATAAATAGTCTATCATCTTCAAGGGATCGGCTACTGACCGTAGGAACTTCAGAACGATATGGTGAATTGCCCGTGAACGTTACGCCTACATACATAACTTGCGTCATCGGAGGATTAGGCGGACCGGGTGCGATAAACGCCACTGTTGACGCTGTCGCATTGTTCGCCGCCACTGGTTCTCGGACTTCGCGCACATCATGAGAAATGTTATTCAGATTCCGTACCGAACACAGCCCCTGCAACACCGAACCACACGTTATCAGGCGACTAGTCGCATAATCTATCACAAGAGCTTTGTTTACATTGTCCGTCGGTTTCTTGATGAAGTTCGGGGGACAGTCGTAGGTGCATTGGGCGGAGTCGTTCACAGGTCCCGTTATAATAGATTGGGCAACCTCTAAGTCTGGCGATAGTTGGTAGATTCTGTTGACTGCTCCAATGTAGACGCGGCCGGTATTCCGGTCGACGACGAGGTGATTGAAGAAGGACGTCGCTGATCCAACGGGGTCGGTAAAGGTGCGTACCACATCCTGGGAGGCACGCGCGGCGGCGCACGCGGCCGTCAGGGCCAGCAGCACGCGCCACATGGTGCGGGCGCATGTGGCCGGCACTTTACCGCGCGCGCCGTCGCTTGCCCGCCGCGTCCCGCGTCCGCCCCGAGCATCTGCAACGCGAGACACCCACTCAGCCGCACTGCCGCGCCCGGGCATCGGCCCAGACTCCTTCGCCGCTTCGATCCCATCGCACCACACCGCTCGTCTGCCTGCTACTTCACACTAAACGGATCTAGACTGTCTGATGAAGCCTGTAGACGCTTTGATATACAGAACCTAACCAGTGCGTTTCAATTGTAATATCTCTTCCGCGGAGTGCACGTATTACACGCCATGGCTCGGAGAGGTCCAGTGCGATCGGAGCGAATTCGCGAGCTGAAGCGAGATCGCGCTGTGACCGTCTTTCCACATTATATAAACGAAATCTCAGCACCAACCCATTTTTCACATGTTATAAATGTTTGTTGTTATTTTAAATTACAATAGGCAAAGGTAACAAGGTAAACCAAACGGTTCGTTAAGCTTGACAATTGAGCGATTGTTTGAAAGAAATAGGTTAGTACTAAGAAAGCGCGGTCACGGGCGGCCTCGACGCGGTCAGTGCACTGATACAAGTCACACGCCGACGAAAGCCTCAGCATCATCAAAGGGGGATAATAATAAAATAAAATACATGGCATGCTGTTCATAACGAGGGAGTGAACGTGGTAGCGCAACGATAAAAATAAATCGAAAATACGAAAATACGAAACTGAAAACATCGAGACATCGAGTACTTACAGGAATTCCATGGTGGAGTGTATTCAAGCGTAGATTTGCTTTCAAGTGCAGATCATAAGCAAAAGGAGCGCACTCTCATAATGCGAGTGCAGTTGTTTTGAGTTCACGGTTGTGGCTGAGACCTGCAAAAACAATATCAAATTTAGGAACGCTGGGCGCCGCTCGATCGATTAATTCCAAGACGCCGCACCGCCTACTTCCACCACAAACCGCGGATCGCTTCATGCATTAGCTAATCAAGAACCGATAAGAAAAAACATTGGCTTTTTCCGTCATATTCTTTCGCGGAATCACGCAATTCTTTAATCATTCAATTTAGCGTAACATTACCCGCGTTTATCGAGTTTTTTATTGATTATGACACAGATCTTGCAGTATTGGTGATGCTTGTTTACTGAAATATAAATTTTGATTATAAAATCAATTATAAAATTAGTAACCCATATTCTAACCCAGGGTTAGAATTTACTAACATCGAGATTGAAGAATGGAACTATAATAAAATAATAAGTTAAAAGGCCACACAATAAAGTAGTATTATGGTATAACATGACAATTTCATTTTACACCCATTTTTGTTCAAAATAGATTTTCTAAGTATACAGGCGTTTGTGTTTAGTATATTTTGTTTCTTCATTAAAAATACAACAATAACACAAACCTGATGCAACTAAATTACACTCCATACCATCATTCACTTAACAGAAGATGAGAAATCAGATTTCACAAGAAAAACAGATTCAGGTCACTTAGTAGGTATTTAACATCATGAATTATGTAAAGATATTTATTAGCACAAAAATATGCAATGGAAGCGGGGCTTCACAATTGTTTACTGGTTTTTTATAACATGAATAAATACTGACACACAGTTTTTTTCAAGACTTAATCTACTTTTATGTAATTGTATGATAAGAAGAGAAGCAAAGTGGCCTAACCCACAAAGTTAGTAGTATTTATGATAAGGGAAATACTGTATTTGATAAATGTAATAAACATATACTCCCTTGATACGCAGGTGTATTAATATTTTTTATACATGACAGGCAGATGTTGCACTCCACCTAATGTTAAATGAAAAGTAGAATTATTTAGGACTCTCTCTTTATAATTTAAAGAGTTTCTGATACATTTTAGAAATTTTTGCAAATTGAAGTACAGTCAACACTAACTGCACAAGCATTCTGAAATGCACTATAGAAAATTACACTACATAATTTCATACAACGCTTTTCTACACAACTAGACATCTTGTTTCTGGACCGAAAACCACACCTTCCTTCGTAACGTTTATCACGTGGTCTACATACATTTTCCGTTTAAATACAGCCTACAACTTTTTTCTTTTGCAATGTTATTCGATGCCTTTTCACATATTTTACAAAGTGCATTAGGAATTTGCTAAAAACACGTTTATTATTGACACAAAGATGTGTTTTTTATTATGGTACTAGGTTTGCCGGAGTTCGTTGATAATTAGCGGTTGTGCAAATGTATCCGAATAATAACATTTTTAGATAAAATGCGTTGTAGAGACAACATCACGGCATGGTACGGGACGACCGGTCGTCCAGCAGCAGAGCGGCGGCGGCGGTGTTGTTTGTTAACTGCATTCCCTACACCTACACAGTTATTCACCGCCCACGCCCGGATGCAAACACGAAAATTCATCACATCGTCACTATGCTAAACACAATACCCCAAAAGCACCTTCAATTTCCATCACACTGTCTTCAAAGAACGGAGAAAAGAAAGTCAGCCATTATCGCACACGCGAGTCGATAAACGGAAGCCATTCGGACAAACGCCACGGAAGGCCTCCAATAAACGATTTACACCAACTGCACCATTAAAACTCACCTTATTATGGATAAGCCTTCGGGTAAAATGCAATCCTTTAGAATCCAAATTCAGTTACACTATTGCACCACTTCACACTTATTCTTTGTATGATTTCACTGTTAAAATTTCTAATGAAAACACTTATCACCACTTTCGACGGCGTATATCACAACATTATACATGTAAAAAAACTTGTATCGGATATTTCAATCCGTTCCAAAAAGTAAAATTTCCCGTTTTGCACAATGTGTCCACGACAAGAGCATCAGTCTTCGTACATTGCCGTGGAATGATTTTAGTTCGCTTCTCCGTCGAGTCTAGGCGTGACTGATCCGAAAATAACCGATCACGCCCGATTCCCAAAATTTTACCGTACATCGCCACTAGAGGCAGCACTACTTACAGATGCGTTCTAAATATAAATTTGTCTATGAACATTCTGTATTTCGTACGTTCATTATTCATATTTCAAAAAACTTTATCGTTTGTACTGTAATAAAGTAACACTTTTTCCACACGAGATAGTCTCACAGAACATAATAAATACTACAGAATTTTTTATCATTCATTTAAAGAACGAACAACCATAAATAGCGTTCACTTGACGACTTGACATTGACATGACAGTTGTTTTGAAAGGTCTTGGGTGAAAAAATAACAATTTTTCTGAAAATATTGGCGAAAATTAAATAATAGCTGTAAATCATGGCTTCATCCATGTTCAAGCTATCGTCTGCCCTTATTAATTCCTCCAAGAACTTCCGCTGTGTAGTTCGGCTTGTCGATAAAGCTAACTTCTCCACAACAAATGTTGCCGCGGTAAGTTGCATAATCGATTCTACTTTTTTTTAAATATCTATACATAACATGTGACGAGCTCTTGAGCCTGGTTCAAGTCTTCAATCCTGTGTACCGCATGGATATATTTTGAGTTTTCAAATAATAATTTCTGTGATAAAACTTTCAAACTTCTAAAAGTTGTAAGGTTATTTTTAACTTTGATAGGTTCACTATAGGCTTTATCAACGTATGCACCTAGATTTGTGTTATTAAAACAAAATATGAGCTACGATTTTAATGTGATATTTTCGACTGTCAAATGTTATTGATAGTGATTAAAGAATGCAGAAAATTATTACATAAATCGAGTTCGTTTTCGCGATTGATACACATTAAAAATGAAACTATTTTTATCAGATACAAATTTCGTATATTTATCGATTTCTTAGGTTTTCGCGATTGTTACACATAGAAAATGAAACTATTTTTCCGGATTTAAATCGCGTTTGAAAAAACAAATATATGCGATTTAAATCCGGAAAAATAGTTTCATTTCCTTTCGTATATTTGTTTCTTCCAGCAAACTATTGTTTTGGGCACTTTACAATTCTCATGGTCACAGTTGACTGAGATTTTTTTTTAATAATATTAAGTGACAGGACGAACAAGTTGTGCTCCTGTTGGTAAGCTACATAGTTGCAGTCACTACTCAAAGCTTTAAATCACAAAGGTACTGCTACTGCGCCCGTCACCCTGAGATATAAGTTAACAAGTCCCATGTGCCTGTAATTTCACCAGCACCCTCATCCTTCAAAACCGGAACACAGTAATGCTGACATTACTGCTAGGCGTCAGAAATTGGTAAGGTGCCAGTACTTCCCTGGATGAACTCTTTCACAAGGATCTCTACTGCTACTAAAATAGTAAAGTGGTAAAAAAATGGTAAAGTGGGAAAAGTAATGGTCCCTTAAGGGTCCTGTGAAGGGCCCTTTGGTTTGTTGGAAATAAAAAATATACAATTTAGATCTGAAAAATAGTTACATTTGCAATTCTGATATAGTCATCTCTAATCATCATCTAAAAAGTCAGTTTTAATTCCTAACTACCTTTTATATATTGACATTATTTGTTATTACTGGGACTGTTTTTATAATTAGGGTTACTTCATTCTGGGTCTACGCAGCCCCTCATTCACTGCAATAATTGAGTAATCTATTGTGATCACCACGAAGTACAGTTCAGAACCAAAGTTGACAGCATTAAAGAACAAAAGGACTTTCCTAGCTCTGACAGTTTTTATATCCTCTGCTTGTGGCCTTGTCCACCGATCAGGGGGCAGCATTGTGTGAGAAGATTTGTCCGCTCTGTGGCAGAATCTACACTATCTATTATCTCTATGCCCAATATTTGACATGTGTTCCATTCCTGTCCAGCTAATAGACAGCTATCAGAGCTTTTGAGTGCTCAAGACCCTTGCTCTATAACCAACTATGTAGTAATAATAATACTGGGGCTAAAAAGATAATAATGATGCACTCTAGGATTCAGTGGTTGCATTATATGAGACAACTTTGTATTAATATTGCCTATTTTTATTATCTTTTGATGTTATTTTTTTTCTATTAATTAATTTTATCTATAATTTTAGTATTTATACAAAGGTTTTATGAATCAGGATAATGGGTGCAGTGCCAGTGCCCCTCAGATCTTAGCGATTGATTTAAAGCTCTGAGTGGGACTGCAATTGTCTTGGATAGGATGTTGCTTGCCGCCAGACGCATAACTTTTTTGTCCTGCTTGGTATGCCTACATAGTAGTTTGCCAATATCTGGTATGTCAGGAATGTGGAATGTGGAAATCCACAGTGAGAGACAGTTTTGATCATTTATTTCATGTTACCCATGTCACAGTATTACAATTTACACTTACCTCGGGCAGATTCGCAGTTAGGTTCAAACAATTTCGAGAAGGAAGCCAGGAGGAGGATTTGGCTTGGATGGGCAGGGTTGTTAAGCTACATCGAGTCTTCTCGTCACCCATACCACAAAATCCGAAAACAAAGGTTTTCAACCAGTGCGTCATGCCTGTTATGATTTACGGAGCCAAAATGTGGACACTGGATACGGCTAGTCCACCAATTTACAGTCGCTCGGCGTTTCTATGAAGAATAAAATTCGTAATGAGGTTATCCAACTGACATAGCTCGGGCAATAAGCAAGCAGAAGTGGAGTGGGCTGGCATATCTGTCGAAGAACCGATAACCGATGGGGAAAACGAGTTCTAGAGTGGAGACCGCGACTTGGTGAACGTAGTGTAGGATGCCCTCCGGCCAGGTGGAGTGCGACCTGTGAAAGGTTGTTGGCGGGAAATGGATGGCGACAAACTGAGGACCAGACGAAATGGCGCACATTGGGGGAGACCTATGTCCAGCAGTGGGCTGCGACAGGCTGATGATGATGACAATTTAAAGTACAATGTCAATTAATAATATGATTGCCACTAATAGAAACGAAAAAGTAGTCACAAAATATTGTCCAAAAATGTATATCCAGTGAAGTAAAATTACAATTTCAAGAAAATGAAACTACACTGTAAAATTAATTATCCAATAAAGTAAGTTCCAGTGGGATTATAAACTTTATGATAGTATATACATATGTTTTATGGTCATATGAGTCCGTCTTTGGATACTTACAATTACAGTTTGATTGCTTGAGCAACTGTTGTAATTTATATTTTTATGTTTTACATTAACATAATGTAGTTAACTTCTGTTAGACATATGCTATATAAATTATCTGTTCAATTATTGAGCACATAGCATTAAATTTTTAAATCTATTTATTTATTTTCTATTGCCATTTCAGGAACAAAGTTTCCTCTGAGTTATACAAACATTAACGGGAAGAAATCCCTTTATTAGGCTCACTTTTGGACATTTATTAAATTCATATTAACATTTTTTGGTATGTACAATAGTGTTAAAATTAAATACATACTAGAATACACATCATAGAAAAATTTTTTTTTGTACTTTTTGAAAAAAAAAAATTTTTTTCAATCTATTCCTGGTTTTCTTGACTTTGGTTTTTATTTTAGTATTTTTTGTATTTAGGTATATGTTTACAGTGTGTTGTTTTGTTGAGATTTTTCTATGTTATAAATATTATCTACCGATGATCAAGTTATCACCTTAAAGTGTGCTCAAAATTATTTACGTAAAGAAGGAGCGATCATCCACAAACAAAAACTTAAAAAAAAAGATCTTAGTCTAAAATTAAAAATGTAAAGAATTTGTACTTAAATTATTTACAAAACTAACATTCATAGAAATAAATTTCAATATTCACGAGACTCCCGCTTCTAGTGGCGAGTATCAACTGTTTACATTTTCTCGTTTGTACCATCTGTGCGTTGCTAATTTCTCTAACACGTATCATAACTCGATACTTCCTGGCATTGCAATCCTTTTGAACGCGTGAGAATAAATTACTTGGTGTATTTATCTGATAAAGAAGCAGCTCTTCACGAGTCGCGTTGTAATATTGCCGGAAGAAATGGAGGTGCTATTTTAAAAACAAGTGGTTTTGTAAATGTTATATTTAAATACCACCCCACTTTTTGTTTTATAGTAGGTACTTATTGACGAAGCCCAGTGCTGATATTTAGGTAATCTTCATTTTAATATTTGTTTTTATGAAATAAAATTAATTTCTCAGGCATAATAAATAGGAATTATGTTGTAAGAACCTTTTGTCACTGATTCCTGTATAGTTAAATATTTATATGTATAGTCTGTAAGAAAATGCGATAGCGCTCTCGCTGTGATCATTATAAAGTATTGTCACTGAATTAAATTATTTCCGTGATATGGTGTATTCCATGTTACAGTTATTATATAAAGCTATTTCATATAAATTGCTCTATTGTTTGTATTTTAATCTAATCTATTTGAAACAATTTTTTTTTAATGGACGGACATACAATAGTAAACTTTATTTTATACAACGTATTTCCACACTGTTAATACACAAATCAAATTATCTCCAAAGTAAAATTACGTGCCTTGGTTTCAATTTGCATAACTAAATCCATCATAACTATGAATATTTTTTTGTCACTAGTTGATCTTGTCTTTATGACATTCTTCTCCTTTTTTTAAATATTATGGCCCCATCGAAGTAATCGATGATACCTATGATTTCGTCGATGTCAAGTTGAGGAACACGCGTTTTTCGCGTGTGTCCCTCGACTTCGTGTTTGTTGTTTGACTGCTGATTTAAACTCGGATTTTAAAAGTCCTAAGGCGATTATCACACTGCATCGCGACGGAGCGCGAGACGCGGAATCACGCGCGCGGTGGATGGCGGAGACGCAGATCTGCGTCAACGCGCGGTTTATAATGCGCGGGGGCAGCGGTCTACCGGGCCCGCGTCATATAAAGTACTCGCTTCGCAGTTGATAGCCGTAGTGATTGTATATGTAGCCGAGATCCTTCCGTCTAGGCTCTCGGGTTTCTCTCAGAGAAAGTTTTAAGGAGACTGGTATCATGACTGTGGCATCACAGTACATTTACTCAAATATTTTATATGCCCGTAAAAATATACATAATTTCAATTAGAAAGAAGATATCCATAATATTAACCTTAGAGCTAAGTCCAAACTCATGGTACCACGCTTTCGTTTAACCAAGGTAAACAACTCTTTTATAGGGAACTGTATACGTTTTTACAATAAGATTCCGGAGGATATATTAAGTTTATCATTTCCTAAGTTTAAAAACTACATTAAAAATATTTTGATCGAATAAGCATATTACAAAATTGAAGACTACGTATTAGATAAAGATGTGTGGAAAGACGACACGGCTCCAGAATCTACACAAATTTGATTCGAAGTGTATTCCAAAGCATTGAAGTTTATTTGAAAAGAGCAATCCCTAGTTTCTTGCTCGTTCTTAGGGAAGTCAGCGTAGTGAACGAGCAGTAGCTTAAATGTGACGTTTTCAAGTATAAATTTATTTTACCTATGGAATAAATAATCTTTGACTTTGACAAGAATGGTTAATAATACGGAACTCATTCAGGACGTTGCAGTTATACCGTCTATTTGGTTTTTGTTTACTCAAATAAAAAGACACCGAAAATATTGCGTACATCCCTTTTTACGAACCAGATCGATAAATGAATAATTTCAAATTCATTACAAAGATTTAAGAAAATATGAAGATAAATTTGGTCGATTTTCAATACCAAATGTAAATTCATCGACGTCTAGATCTATTGTACAAAACTAAACATGTCCTTAACCTTAAAAAACTGCGCCGTAGTACGGAGCGCAGTGCGTAGAAATGGGAAAAACTGTTTATTTTTTAAACGTTTAAACGTTATGCTTTTTTAAAAAAAGCGTGCTTTTTTAAACGCTTTTTCACTTAAACGCTTTTTAGTTTGAAGCTAACAAAATCGTTTAGAAAACGTTTAAGCGCTTTAACTTTTACGTTAAAAAAGCTTGCTACGTTGTGTTGATAGCGAAAAGCAAAAGTAGACCACTAAAGGTTTTAAGATAAGTAATTTTTTTTTTCTAAAAAACGAGTTGTATTTTTATTTATGACATAACATTTTTATATTAACATTTTGTTCATAGGCGTTTAAAAGCGTTCAAAAACATAAGTTGTTTATTTTTGTAGTTGTTAACCGTTGAAAAGGAAAAAACTGCTTATTTTTTTAACGTTAAAACGTACGTTTAAATAGCATGCTTGTAAAAGCGCTTTTCACACGCTTTTTAGTTTCACGCTTAAAAAGTCTTTTCGAAAAACGTTTAAACGCATAGATCAACGCTTATGCTTAAAATGAAAAGCGTGCTTATGCGCTTATTTTAAAAAGCAGACTTTTTTAAGTGCTTGTCGTTTAAACGCCCACCTCTAGCAGTGTGCCATACCCTGCGGTTGGCCGCGCCTCTCCGCGCGGGGCGCAATAAAACCGCGCACGCAGCGCAATAAAACCGCGCACGCAGCGCTCCCGCGCAGAAAAGCGTTGTCATTGTGTTTGACGGCGCGTGTTTTCCATACAAACTGAGGTACTTCAGTACAACGTTAAAAAACGTCGCTCAACGCTCCGTCGCGGGGCGCGGTGCAGTGTGATAATCGCCTTAGATATTCGCTATGACAACTCACTTTTGTTCATGTGATTAAAACATGTGACTTTCATACGTTTGTTTAGGAGTTTATTGTCTGGTAGGACTCTTAACTTTTCCTCTGAACGTTACTTTCAATGACATCCTGTGCATTGTTATACTTCTAACATAAACAAATAGAATAAAATGAAATGTCGGTGTTTTGTAGAAAGGGCGTAAGCGACATTTCAAAATTTTTTAGGGGAGCATGTTTCAGGTTTTAACGACTATTTTAAAATACATTTACGTCTTGTTTTAAAATTCAAGTTTGGTTCAAATTAAGTTTGAGTTTCAACTTGAAACCAGGCGTGAAAACCTGTTTTGCACCACTGCTGAAAAATTCTTCGAAATGTCGCTTACGCCCTTTCTACGAAACACCGAATATAGTTAGTTACGTAACATTTAATTTTATTTATAAAAGTGATCTCTGTATCACTTATTAATTATTATGAATAGGGGCCCAAAGAAAATTAGTTTATTTTTGGATTTAATAAGCACAGCTGTATTCAATGTGTAAAATTTTGTAAATAAGTTACCGAGATTTCCATTGGTTAAAATAATCACATGAAAACGTTGGATCGGTATAGCATATTTGTCGGTTTTGTGCGCCAGATACGCTTCAGTTTGTTTGAATAATAAACAAAAAATGAACCGTTTAAAATGTAAAAATAACACTTGACTACAAGCTCAAAGAGCCCGCAGGGCAGTTTGGTAGTTGTAACTAATATACTTTATTTGGTATTTTTAAGAAGGGCCGCTATTTTCGGAAACTATCGATATTTATGTATGTAACATATTTCTAACGTAAACGTGGGACAAGAGCGGGGATTGCAATTTCTGCAAATCTCTTTAAAATAATAAATACTTCGTGTCAGCCGTGAACATAGGACCAGGGAGTCTACTCTCGATCTCCGTCCGAAACAATTACTGCCAAATAAGCAATACTTGACCAAATGAAAAGACGCGTGATGCGAATCAAGCTTCATACTTGATACTTGTCTTTTAATTTTGTCGAATATTACATACTTATTTGACAGTAAATGTTTCGGACGGAGATCGAGAGTAGACCCCCTGTAAAGGGCTCGAAACGTTGGTTTGTTTGATCCGCTAATAGTTTCATTTCCTACGTGTAACAATGGCGAAAACCTAAGAACTTAACAAATACTTTCTTTTGTACTTGATTATCAACATACTTCAACAAAAAGCAGATTCTATTTTTGGTGTTTTTGGCATTTGTGAACCGATTTTGATGATTTATATTGTGGTTAAAATCGGTTCACAATTTGAGTTGTCGCGTTACACATACAAAACAAAAATGCAGTCGAATGGAGAACCTCCTCCAATTTTTGAAGTCAATTAAAAAGTAATCCTCTGACTTATAGTCGTGCCTTATTTACACCTCAAACTATGCAATGAATTATGTAAATTAACGCAAGCATATGGGAATTGATAACCTCGCGGTTCTATCGTGCGACCTGTGGTTTTGCCAGTACGCCTACGACTGTCCATGTGAACGGTTGTGGTGACTGATAAGCCGAAACGAGGTTACAAGTGTCAAAGAAGTAAAGTCTTATTTTCATTTCGCCACTGGAGGGGACCCTAACCGGTTTCGTGTCTGTCTTTCGCACACGACGTGGCCATTTCTTATTTTGTACGCGATAGAACGCGCGCATCGAGGTTTATAATTAGAATTCGTTATAAGCTTGTTTTTCTTTAGAGTTGCTGTCGGACATTTTCGGACGTCAAAAATAAGTTTTTTTTTTAAATTGTGTAGTATTCCATTTTCCAATAATGTCGTGCACTGTATGCTTTAATGATGGAAAGCCAGTTAAGACGGTAAGTTTCAACTAAAATATTGATTCATGTTGCATTTCATACAGTATTCTGTGTTATTATATAGTAAATAAGACAGGTGTACTCAAAATTTTACGTTTGTGTACAAACGTGAGTACCTGATTCTTTCACGGTTTGGTTGAATTGATTTTATCCAATTATTCTATATCTGTATCTATTTATTAATAATATTTATTTGCATAACTCGCAACAAGTGTAGTGATGAAAAAAGTAATGAAAAAAACCTTGCTGTTAGTAAAATAAATAATTCAGAATAATGAGTGGAGAGTGTCTTAAGTTTGTAATGCATTATCGACCTTTGTGTTGCTTGAAATGTTTGCTGAATAATTTAATGAGCACTTTTAGAGTTATTTTTTAATTTCATCGGTAAAATAATCAATTGTCAGTAACCAGGTAGGTTAGGTAGCACGTGATTGGTTATTTACTTGATATAAACAATTTATTTATTAGTTTTTTGAAATTTAAAAAGTGAAACCGAGAAAATAATAATGAAAAGAGTGTCCTCTGATTGTTTTTTCATGACTCATATTACATGTTTGAAATATAAAAACGACATCACATTGTGTACTCTATTACATAATCTTAAGAGAATAATTTTATTTACCATTAACCTTGACTTGATATGTTTTGACATTACTTATCTATCTGTTCAAAAGCCGTGTGACATAACTTTTATTGACTAAGGCATTGTTATTTTCAGATAAGTTTCACTTGTTGTTATTAATACTTAATAATAGCCTTGAACCGTAGCATAAGTACAGATTGACATAATTATATTATTAAGCTGATTTTTAGACTACTAAATGGATGATCAATTGATGTTTTTATTTATTTTTTTGACAGATTTTATTTATGGATTTATTAAAACGTGTCTTAATTCGGTTTGAATAACTCATGGGAGCGATAAATGATAAAACTTACATTTTTTTAACCTCCTAAAACTCTACATAAATGGGAAAAGAATCCAGTGTAGTTTAAAAAGTACTAAATTACATGCTTTTCCGGCCCTAGCAAGTATGCCCTTAGTTTTGTATGAAAAACGTATTTATCTAGATACTCACGTAGATTATACACAATATGTTAGACCTTATAGGTCTACATACATCTACAGCTTAGACCTTAAATATCTAAATTTCTTACTTTTACTAATTTTTAAGCGAAGACTCATTTTGTGAAATATGATAAATTAATTCTTAATTGTACCTTTAATTCGATATAATTTATAATTTCATGTCATTAATTTTTAATTCATTAACTTTTTAATAATAATTTTCTATTAAATTATTAATGGATTTATAGTTAAATAAATACACATTTTAATTTTAATTTTTGCGTATTTAATAGCTCTCGCTAACGATTATGTAGGAAAACATTGTGACAAAACTTCAGGTCAAAAAAGTTCACAACACTTGGAAAACGTGTGACGTGTGATGTCCCCAACACGCATTATTGAAACCCTCTCTTTAAAGTTGACTCATACACAGCGTAGGACATTGGCTTGATTTTGATGATAACATTGTTACAGAGGAAAGAAAAAGACACGATGGGTGAGCTCGACGTGCCGGACGACAAATTGTACGGCGCACAGACCGTGCGGTCCGTCATGAACTTCCCCATTGGAGGCATTGAGGAGAGGATGCCGGTAAGCATTTAGCATACAGATTTTAAGACTTTCGAGATTATTCACTGAAGGATTAAATCAAGTTTTCTTATGCCACGGTATAAGTTTTTTCAATTAAGTTGGATGAGGATATTTTTATTTACGTCAACACTCATCATCATCCACAGCCAAATTTCACCCACGGCTGGGTATAGCCGCCCGAAGTTTGTGCCATCCACCATGGTCCTCTGCTAGCATCCTATATATATATATATATATATATATACACCTTGCAACTGGGCGCCCGGCGCTTGTTTTGCCTATCCTCGGCCACCTGTCATCACCTTGCCTTGCTATGTATCCCGCCCAACCCCATTTGAGTTACATGATCCGAGCTCCAGTATCCTGGACTTTCACCCGTCGTCAGATCTCAACGTACGAAACTCGGTCTACAAAGCTGATACCAAGCATGGCCTTCTCTGCAACTCTGCGTGAGCGTCCATGTCGTGGCACCGTACGTCATGGTGGGCAGAACACATTGATTAAACAAGAGGGTCTTCAGACACTAGAACCTTATTTGATCTAAACACGCAAATCAGCCTTTTTGTATATATTAAAGGGGCGTATTCTTGATCACCACCTTTCCCTGGAGCAAAGAGGGGGCCGACGATGGAACAAGTTCGCCCAGAAGATGCCCATTCAATTGCATTTGAAAGACGTAAGGGTGTCTTCAAATTCGACAATATCTAGTCTGCATAACTTTTTTATTTAAAAAACCGACCTCAAAAATTCGCGGAATTAGATTTATTTGCCAAGTTTTATTGAAATCGTTTAACGGAAAGTGCGCGAAACCTGATTCATCCCCTAGTTTGAGATGGAACATTTTCTTCAAACTTAAATGGGACCAATACTCAGGTACCCTCTTTCCAACAAAAAAGACTTATCGAAATCGGTTCCCAAATGCCGTTCACGAGTTATCGCGTAACATACGAAAAAAAATACTGTCGAATTGGGTACCTCCTTATTTTTTGAAGTCGGTTAAAAAGTGGCGCGGCAGCAGCGCCACTGTGGCGCCACTGCAACGCTCTACTAGCGTATAATTTGAAGACGCCCTGGGGGTTGTATGTGCGTGGAAATACAAACGCAGACAGGAAATTCCGTTCCGTGACCGTAGGCATTATAAAGCAGGAAAAGCGCTTAGTGCGCCTGAAAGGTATATCAACCAATTAAGGATGGTATCCTGCTAAACGTCTGGACTCTGGATATCCGATGGCGAAAGGAGGAGGGCGGAATGAGCTGGTGGAGCTCATGGTAACATTCACTGAAGTATAATTTAGCGTTGAAATGTTGTGATATTGTATTGTTATAGTACAATTATAGTTCCGTTATATTTTGCGGGCGTTGTGGCGTGAAAGATGACCTAGTGATTAGGACAGGAAATGCTTCAACCGTGTGGAAGAGGTGTATGTTAGTGGAATAAAAATGAAATTTATTGAGCGAATGTGTTCAAAGTTTGATTTCGATGCTAATACCTCAACGTGGTTAAGTATGTTCTTTAATAATTGTAACTTTTTTATAAAAAAAAACTGGCTGAGTTCTTAGGTTTTCGCGATTGTTACACATAGGAAATGAAACTATTTTTCCGGATTTAAATCGCGTATATTTGTTTTTTCAAACAAACCGACGTTTCGGGCCCTTTACAGGTCCCATGGTCACGGTTGACTGAGGTGGTACAGTCTTCAACCAGTTATGTCTAATATTGATGCAAACCACCCTATTTTTTCACCATAGTTACAATAGTTATTAATTAAATACCTTATTTTTAATTTTACAAAGAAAACATTCCAATTTACGCTATATTAAGTTTTACAAATTATTTTATTGAATGAATTTTTATTAAGTTCAATTTATTATTAATTATTAATAGAAAATGGAATAAACTATAACATATTAATTAGTACTGCAGTCTTATGTCTGTTTGGGATTTTTCATTAGAGGAAATACTGGATCTCAAACTGGTGGTACGGAGAAACCATCTTCCCTGTTGAAATTAGGATGTAAATGATGATGTAAAAATAGGGCCCGAAACGTCGGTTTGTTTGAAAAAACAAATATACGCGATTTAAATCCGGAAAAATAGTATCATTTCCTAAAAAAAAACCTCAAAACTTAGTGGAATTACATCTATTTGCCCAGTTTCATTGACACCGGTTACCGGAAAGTGCACGAAACTGGATTCATCTCCTAGTTTGCCACCCTTGGAGGTGGAATATTTCCTTCATACCCTTATTCCAGCCAAAAAAGAGTAATCAAAAATCGGTTCACAAATAAAAAAGAGATATCGTTTAATATACATAAAAAAATTCCGTCGAATTGAAAACCTCCTACTTTTTTTGAAGTCTATTACAAATACCAGTTGAAATGTAATAATAATACAACGGCGTGTATGAAAAGATACAAGTGGATGTAGCGACAGTGTCATGACATGAACATAGTGCGTTGAGGTCTTTGCCTACCCCATTGAAAGATACCCCATCAAAAAAAAAGAAATTGAAAGGTAGGCGTGATGGTATGTCAGTATTACATTATATATCGTAACATATTGAGGTCGTTTATTGCATAGACCGCGATACGTATTTCACGGTGTCCTATTCAATGAGTGACAGGTACTTAAGGGTCAAAACCCGAAACATTATGAGCCAATATGTTTGTTTGTACTATGTCATTGCCATTGTAACTTTTGCAATACACACCGTCAATTGTTTTGTATTTAACTCCCGCACCAACAGTTACAATGTTTCATTGATAGTGGATATTGCGAAATGTGTTGGGAAATCGGTCTGTGCCAAACATTGATTGTTTTGGATCAGCAACAGCAACAGGTGTAGAAAGTATCGTAAAACTATAATACTTCAAATTCAAAATGTTGTTTCGTGGGTAAATGTTAAACATAAACTTATGCCCATGCTTTTTTTCGTATGTCTCATCCGATATTACTGTAGTTGAGAGGTAAAGAACCTTAAAGGTGCTTTTATATTCTCTGTTTTAAGTGCCAAATGGTAATTTCTAGTCAGAGGCTCTAAATTAGTCATTTACAAACAATTTTAACGTCAAATAATACATACAATTATATTAAATACAAAAACAAACGACAATAGGGCTTAATGTCTTTTACCCATTGCGTGATTTTTTGCATTCCAAAGCAATGTTTGTAAAAACATCTAAATTTCGAAGGACTTAAGATCCTTTACCTCTCACCTACAGAGTTAATCGAATGGTTATTAGCAGTTATCGCAGGTAGAAAAACTAAACTACTGTTACTCGGCGAGCTGCAGAATTACTCCGTTTCTCTGAATAATAGAATCCATAATGAGGTTGTCCATCAGAAAATCAACGTCATGGATATAGTTCGTAGAATAAGTAAGCTAAAGTGAGCTGGCCACATCTGTTGAAGAACCGATAACCTATAGGGAAAACGAGTTCTTGAGTAGAGATCACGCCTCGCCAAATATGTAATGCAAGACTCCAGCCGGGTGGACTGACGACCTGCGAATGACTGATGCCACAAGCTGAGTGCAGAGCGAAGTAGTGCACTCTGGGGTACACCTATTACCAGTAGTCGACTACAATGCGCTGGTGATGATGAATAAAGGCCCATTTAGATGGAGAGAGTTTCTCGTCTCGAAGATACGATTATCGAAAGAATATAAAAAAACTTTCCTCGTCTAAACATTTGCGATTATCGACCGTCCACGTGAGCGATAATCTCCTCGCCTTTCAATATAACGTCTCCGTGTAAACAGAACTCGAAAGCAAAAATCGTATTTCGAGTTTCTGTGCCAGCCGTTTCTACCACGAGTGCAGCGCGCGAGGGTGTTTTGATTATCACTGCTTTTCTAAGACAAGAATTTATGGAACAAGAGCGTAAAAGAAATTTCAAATAACGGTGAGTGAGTGAGTGCCTCTGTGGTCGAATATAGCGTGGGCAATATAGTATTTAGTCCTTTCTAAATCCAGGATGAAAAGTCGTGCCCGCACTTTTCAAATAATGGCAAGTTGGGTATCGTTTTTGAGGTATTTGGGGGTGCTCATTACGAACATAGCATTTATTTCTAAATCCAAGATGGCCGACACGACTTTCCAAGTAAATGTACTTTTCAATAAACACTCCTCACTAACTCCCCACTCACTCCCTACTCACTCCCTACTCACTCACTCACCACTCACTCACTCACTCACCACTCACTCACGCACTCACTCACTCACTCACTCACTCACTCACTCACTCACTCACTCACAACTCACTCACTCACTAACCTCTCACACACTCACTCACTCATTCACTCACTCACTCACTCACTCACTCACAACTCACTCACTCACTAACCACTCACACACTCACTCATTCAGCCACTCACTCACCACTCACTCACTCACCACTCACTGACTCACTCACTCACTCATCACTCACTCACTCACTCACCACTCACTCACGCACGCACGCACGCCCGCGCGCACGCACGCATGCACGCACTCACTCACTCACTCAGTCACTCACGCACTCACACACGCACTCACTCGCCCTATAAATTTATCATAATTGTCAGGTTTGTTTGTGTCAGTAGTTATATAATTTAAAAAAAAATGATAAATCAAAATTATGTTTCTATACAGTGCAATGAACTTAATATTATCAGCAGTTCCAAATTTGAATAATTTTTGCGTCATTTCGATATATCCATAGTCAATACCGCAGTAATCACAGAACTCGAATGGCAATTCTCGCACTCAAAACGGTTCGAACCGATTTGTACGATAATCGTATGAACTTGAAAAAATGTCATACGAGATCGTGTTTAGACAAGTCGAAAACTCGTAAGCAAGAATCTCCTTACTACATATTTCTCCGTGTAAACAGTCGAGGAGGCGATTAAGTTGCTTACGAGTCTCGTATGACATAATCGTAGGCGAGATTTTAGTTCTTGCCTGAATGTAAACATTATGATACGATAATCTTATGGCGATTATTGCTTACGAGAATCGCCTACGAGTTTTCGTCTCGAAGCGTGCGAGAAACTCTCCCCATCTAAATGGGCCTTAATGAAGGCCGACTGTTCTGCATGGAGTTTGAATACTGCCGTTATCAAAAAGGCTGTTCTGATTTTAATCGTTAATGGAAGGGCAAAAATTATAAAACGCCGCCGTGTAGAGTACCTAACCAACGCCTCAAAGTGACACTATTCTAAATGGAAAGTAGCAAAGATTAAATTCTTTGGAAACACCAAAAAAATTTTCGTGCGAATGTCAGTACGAAATCCGAACAGGTTGATGAAGGAACAATATCCAAAGTTGTCGCTTAACACGTTTCATTTTCGGTCAAAGTGACGGTTTATACTTTTTACCGTTACACTGACGATGATAATGTTTATTTTGAAGTTGTTACGTTATATAATTTGCACAGTTTATTCGTCAACGTGCTATACCGAAGTAATAGTCAGACTCATTTTGTTTCCAGCTCCCCGTGATCGTCGCGTTTGGCATCTTGAAGAAGGCGGCTGCAAAGGTCAACATCGACTATGGATTGGACAAGAAAATCGGTAAGTTCCATTATCGGCGGTACAATACGAATGGACTAATCAAAGAATAGAATAAATTAGAAAATATTGCAACGCCACACAAAACTATACAGAAAGAAAGAATTTTAAAAAAAGCAGTAAAACGATTGTGGTTATCGTATTTCCTTCAAAATGAAATGGGATCACTATGGAAATACCCCCTTTCCAACAAAAAAGAATCATGAAAATCGGTTCACAAATACTGGAGTTATCTTGTAACGTACATACAAAAAAACAGTCGCATTGAGAACCTCCTCCTTTTTTTGAAGTCGATTAAAAACACACTTGTAGTAAAGTGATTGATGTAACAATGTGCCAAACAATTATTTGCCTGATTTCATACTAGGGAATTCCCTTTACTACGAGTACCTGTGCAACGGAATTCACTCTGGGGCACTTCCCAGTAACACCCAGACCAGAACCACTTTAGAAAAGTTAATTTCCCCAAATTGATCCTGCCGGGAACCGAACCCAGGGCCTCCGCATCCAGCGCCCACAATTAAGCCACCGAGGTCGTCAAAATATAATACAATCATTCTGGGTTATCAGAGAGAAGTATTAGCCACTCGTGCCTTATTCCCTTGAACTTTAGGTAAATATACTTTGCCTAATTGAATCTCTGTTCATTCTGTGTGAAGCGTAGTAACAACGCTATTAATAGAATATAACCAATAGCGCAAAATCTTATCAAATTCGTCAAGAAGTCCATAAATAAACTAAAGCTATGTACTACCGGATTTATGATTTTCTAACGTGCCGTGTCGTGACGCGTCAGAACCATATCGGTTTCATATATTTCGACGGCAGGAAACATTAACCGTTTATTTGCAAAAACACGATTTTACAGTAGAGCGTTTTAAAAATAAAAACTTTATATTTTTTGTTGTAACAGACCGAATTAGCTAAAATTTTGGGCAATGAAGCAGTATAAAAGCTAATATCTGAAGGATATTCAGAATATAATAATATCATTCTCTCACTGTTTTTCTGGATTCATCTAGTGAACAGAAAAACAGTGAGAGAAACCAACATCGTCTTCATTTTCTTTCTTTTTTTAAAAGATTTCCCAGCACCACAATTGAATATCTTCATCATAATCTGAATCAGACGGGAAAACATTGGGAACGTATGAACTCGCCGAGAGCCACGTCGTTATTGATTAAAAAATCGTTACAAGGTATTAAAACACGAAATATAAATATCAGAGATAGCTATCGCATCAGAGCACATCACGACACGTCAGAATAATATGAAGTCACCACACTTGTCGACGCCGAATCGTATTAAGCCGCTTAGAAAAAACTTTACATCCATGAACATAAGAGCGAAAAAGACGTTGTGCGTTTCGCAACGGTTCGTACAATGCAGGTCGGCAAGGAATCTACTTCGCGCGAATTTTCGATCGCGTCCGTACGCACCGGTGACGGCTGGTAGGCGACATTGGCATCCGAAAGGCCGCGTTGGAGTTCTAATGGCCGCGTCAACACCCGAACGATTTTAAAATACCTGACGTCGAAATAGAGTAGGCTGCGGGCGATGGGGGAACAGACGGTCCGCCTGCAACGTTTTGAATTCAGTTTTCGAGATATTAATTTCCAAATCGGCGCGCGAACGGCCACGTTGGCGCGCAAACGTCCGCGTCAGCGCGCTAATGACCGCGTCAACGGCTAGTCGACTTAACAAGTGTGGTTAAAAACGATCGCATCAAGCAGAGTCCTTGTTAATACGTGTCGTGACTCGCGTGAACGTACGAGCATCCAAGCGGCTGTTCGAACGCCAACTTGAAAATGAATATCTCGAAAACTGAATTCAAAGCGTTGTAGGCGCGACAGCAAATGTGCGTGCGTACACATTGGTAACGTTTCGTTTTTGGTTTAGCTTTGGTTTTTCTTTTGACAGTTAGCGCGATACGAAATGTACGCGACGTGTCACTTTAGCGACATTTCGTTTGTGGTTTAGTTTTGGTTTTACCGTTGACAGTTAGCGCGATTGGCCTCCTGCACAATGTTGTCACGTGGTTATTTTGACCAAAGGTTAATAAGTTAATAAATTGACTATTTTGGTTAGCTTTTACTTATTTTTATACTTAGGTTGTAGTTGGTTACCTTTGTTTATTTTAAATTTCAGCTGAAGCTATTATGAAAGCTTGCGACGACGTCATCTCCGGCAAGTTATACAGGGAGGGGCATTTCCCGTTGGTTATCTGGCAAACTGGATCCGGCACCCAGTCCAACATGAACACTAACGAGGTAAATATACCCTGTAGTGTGATATAAGACTGTTTAAAAGAGGTCAAAGAACAATATTTGCAGAGGTTATTAGGTCTGCTGACTGCTTGGTGGAGTGATCACCCTAGTATGCCAACGACCCAGGTTCGAGTTCTGACAGATCGAAGGAATTTTTCTTTGTATACGACCTTTGTATAAAAAAACCGACCTCAAAAGTTTGTGGAATTACATCTAATTGCCATGTTTTATTGAAATCGGTTAACGGAAAATGGGTGAACTCCAATAAACAGGATTCATCCCCTGATTTGCCATCCTTAAAAGTGGAATATTTTCCTCAAATTTGAATTGGACCACCACTGAGGTACCCCCTTTCCAAAGTGTCGGAGTAATCGCGTAACATACATACAAAAAAATAACAGTCGACATGAGAACCTCCTCCCTTTTTTGAAAGCGGTTAAAATGAAAAGAATCTACAGAAACTTTTGTATGTAATTGTATTTGTTTCGAAAACACCGCATCCCATTGACACAGTGGTAGTGCAACAGAATTGTTTTCATAGCTGAAACTTCATAGCCGCTCCTGTGCTCTCTGCAGTTTTCCCATACAAACTTTGGAATGTAAAGTTTAAACTGAAGGATTAGGTAACTCAAAAACATCACCATCATCATCCGCTTACATGCATCCACTGCTGGACCTAAGCCTCTCCCAGAGCACGCCTACTTTCCCGGTCCCAGCCACTGCCGGCCATCTTGCTCAGGTCGTCCGCCCATCTTGCCGCAGGCGGTCCCACTCTACGTTTTCGTTGACGTGGTCGCCATTCCAGAACAAGTCAGCTCCATCGGCGATTAACCCTCCTGCAGACATGCCCACTGCCACTTAAGTTTACTGATTTTGCAAGCAATATCGGTCACTTTAGTTCTCTGACGTATGACCTCATTAGGGATTCGGTGCATCAGAGAAACCCCAAGCATTACTCGCTCCATCGCACGCTGAGCGACCTTGAATTTGTGGATGAGGCCTGTTGCTAATGTCCACGTCTCGGCTGCGTAGGACATAACTGGTAGAACGCACTGGTTAAATGCCTTAGTTTTTACTCAAAAAATGAAAATACAGAAAGCAACGTCGTTGTCGTTATCAGTCATTAGTTAATTTTAGTCGAAGTGAGATACTCTTCCTTTTTTTTTAAACTAGTGGAGCACTTTCAAAAAAAAAATTAATATCATTAGCATGTCATTAAAACATCATAATATTCATTACAATTAATTATAACTAAAAACTTTTCAGGTAATCGCGAACCGCGCCATTCAAATCCTTGGCGGTGAACTAGGAAGCAAAAACCCAGTACACCCCAACGACCACGTAAACAAGTCGCAGAGTTCCAACGACACGTACCCAACAGCAATGCACATCGCGGTAGCGATGGAGCTTAGAGACCGTTTGATGCCCAGTCTGGTCGATTTGAGAGACACGTTGCAATGCAAATCTAAGGAATTTGAGAAGATTATTAAGATTGGCAGGTGTGTACCGTCTTCATATCAAGCATAGCGTCCAAAGTACGCAGGGTATTATAGTCTGTTAAAAATATAAAGAGGACACATTTTTTATTTTAATTCTATATATATAGATAATCAAATTCGCATATTCTTGTTAAAATGTGTTGAAATAAAACTACACATTATATTATTTGACGCAACTATGTATTATTAAGTATATATTATTTAGTAGGCCAGCTGTCAAAATTAGAATGCAAAAGGCAATAACGCAATTAGTAATCATTAGAACCTAACATTCACAGTTCAGACATTTTTGCATTCTCTCACAATATGTCGTTAAAACTGTTTATAACAACTACAGGACTATTTAAAATTTTATTAAAATTTTATGAAAACTGGCAACCCTTCAAATGTCACTTTGCTTCGTCTTGAAAAAAGACAGACTAAAGTTTTCTTAATTGTATTTGAATAATAATACGCCGTAGTAGCCCAATGGTTTGACCACAGAACAATAAAGACAATAGAAGTGCTTAGTTTGCGTGTCACGTGTTGGCGTGTGTGATCGTTTGATCGCGGTGTTCCGCAAACTTAAGCTATTTAAGTTTGTTCAGGTTATGGTCATATCAATTATTTATTTATTTATTTATTTATACACATCTTATTTCGCACAAAACCTCGAAAATCGTAGAAAATGCCTTCTTTCGCTACATTGGAGTGCAACAATGATAGTCGCACTTGTAATATTATTTTATGGTGGTGTTTCGTATCATCATTAAGTCTTTATTTAATTTTAATAAATTTTCAATATTCTGAATATTGTAATATTTTTTGTTACAAGAAACGAAAGTAAACCTTATACCGCTGCAATATGGACGCTTCTTTTTTAAAGAGCTTAGTAAACATCTCGAATACGTCGTCGTTCAGCTATTGGCCGCTAGATGGCAGCACATAGATTGAAATTTCAATATAAAATCAAAACGTCGTATAACAATGATAGGTATTGAACTTTGAACGATATGCCAACAGGGTAATGTTAAATAATTTTTACATTTTGAAACAATTTTCTGTTTATCGTAATTTTTTTTTTGTTTCACGAAAAGAAAGTAACTACAGCTGCAATATTGTCGCTTCTTTTGTGGCAAGGTACACATTTTACCAAAATTTTTCAATTTACAAACTAAATTTTAAAACGAACTATTACAAGTAACAAAAAACCTCTAGTTGCCCTTTTCGCAAAACTATGATCATGTTGATTGACACGTTATTGCTTGTCAGCATCCAATTATCACATCAAATCATTTATTTCTTTGTAATACACAGGTTAAAAAGGCCTTTCGAGAATGAATTTAACTTTAATTGCCTCCATTCTCCGTGGCCGAACGGTTACCACCGGCCGTACTTTGCCGAACGCAGAGGGCCCTGGTTCGATTCCCGGGCCGGGAGAAATATTTGTATAGCCTACATTTATTTCTCTTGTGAGTTTGGGTGTAATTTGTGATTGTCTATGTGTGTGTCCATGGCACCCGTGGCACATGGTTTCCCTAGTGCGGGGCTATGTTGAGTATGTGCGTTATTATATTATTTAAAAAGAAGAATAAAATTTGGACACTGTAATCCACTGTAATCCGCCTTGCGGCGTACAAAGTTTCTATAGTTTTTATGTAATTTTCATGTAATAATTTATAAATACACTATAACCATTCAGTCCAAACAATAATTAAATATAACAATATTCGATTTTTTTAAATGAAATGTAAATTTCATAACAAATCTTCAATAGTGTAGAATGTCACATCATTCAGGTAATTAAATAATAATTTCTTTATGCACAATTATTGTAATTCCTAATTTCCTAGGACTGTTCTAAACCTTCTTAGCCATTACAATTGCACTCTTTTGAAGTAGAGCAGTTTTACATGTTCTAGTTTTCAGTTGAACAGAAAGATGCGCCCGTGTGACGAATTCTAATAAATTAGGATGGCCGCTTTATTTATTTTGTTAGATTTCAATACAACATTAAACAACACCATCTGCCAGTAAACAACAGTGATTAATTGTTATTTAAGATTAGTTAGAGTTTGGTACGTTGTAAAAAAGGTTTAGTTGTTTAACACGGCGTCCAGTCTCTAAATATAACACGTAACAATAAATGATAATAATATGTTATTATTATCGTCTATTTTAGATTCTCGCCTCACCCGTGGCCTAAAATAAATAATTTTGAATATTAAACGTGCAAAACGGTACTCCTTTTTGCCATTGCCGAATGGCACTGTCGCTCGCGGTCAAGGACTCAAGTTGAAGAACCGATAAACGGTACGTGCTATATCCAGGAGTATCGCTTTCTACATTAGTAGCACTAGTAGTGTTTCTGCCGCCAAGCAGTAATGAGAGCAGGTTACAGGTGCTGGTGAAATTACGGGTACATGGGACTTGTCAACTTATGTCTCTAGGTGACGGGCGCAGTGGCTGTGCCCCTCAGATCTTTGCGGTTTAAAGCTCTATGTGGCACTGCAACTGTTATGAACAGGCGTGTCGCTTATCGCCAGGCCCACGACTTGTTCGTCCCGTCAATTGGCATTATAAAAAAGATTGTACTGGAAGCGACACGCCGCAGATATACAAATAAATTTTATTTTTACAGACTTGTAAAAACGACAAAGAACACAATTGTAGCGTATATCGCGTACAGAGAATTTCGTACGATTCCTGCACAAGGCAAAGCCTGTCTCGCAGGTAATCGATAAAAACATTGTTAATGTTAAAAGAATAACGCCAAAACAAAGCAAAGAGAATTTTGTTAAATTTTGTTTAGAAAAATTGGACATATTATGATCAAACATTATTATTATTACACATTACATTATTTTATTTAATCATATTTTTATATTATTATATTAGATTAGATTATATATATGTTGGATAATATTTATTCTATTTTTAATTCATTCGATATATCGAAATACCAAGTTAAAATTTTTATAAAACCGTTCTTGTACACGTGGAATATTTCTAACCACAGGACTCACTTAATGGACGCCGTGCCCCTGACTCTGGGCCAGGAGTTCAGCGCCTACGCAACCCAGCTGACGTACGGAATCGACCGCGTGTGCGCGACGCTTCCTCGTCTGCACTACCTGGCTTTAGGCGGCACAGCTGTTGGAACAGGCCTAAATACCCGCATTGGATTCGCCGAGAAGTGCGCTGCTGAGATTTCTAAGCTTACTAGTGAGTCTAACAAACTTTACTCTCATTAAAATTACGAATTTACTTAAATAGGAACTTATGATAGCCGTTTGGTTACAATTCTTAAGCAATCACTCAATAAATTGAATAAATAGCGTCTTATATTTCGAAGGTTTTAACTTAATATCTCACCACTTTTAGCAGCAATAGAGCTCCTTGTGGAAGAGTTCGTCCAAGGAGGTACTGCCACCTTTCCTATTTCTACCACCAAACAGTAATATCATCATTATTGTGTTCCGGTTTTGAAGATTAGAGGTGCTCACAAAGAAATTACAGGCACATGGGACTTGTCAACTTATGTCTCAGGGTGACGGGCGTAGTGGCAGTGCCCCACAGATTTTTGCGATTTAAAGCTCTGAGTGGCACTGCATCTGTTATGGACAGGCGTGTAGTTTACCATCAGACGCAAGACTTGTTCGTCCCGTCATTGATATTATAAAAAAAAACACTTTCCAACAATATTCATTCCAATAACAATAAAATAGTATCTGTAATTAAGTAGCAGTAGAGCTGCTTGTGAAAGGTGAAAAGGTTCGTCCTGGGAAGTACTGCCACCAGCCTATTTCTGCCACCAAACAGTGATAAGAGCATTACTCAATCCGGTTTTGAAATGCTGGTGAAATTATAGGCACGTGAGACTTGTCAACTTATGTCTCGAGAGTGACAGTCACAGTGGCAGTGTCCTTCAGACCTTTGCGATTTAAAGACAGGCGTGTCGCTTAACACCAGGCACAATACTTGTTCATCCCGTCACTTGATGTCATAGAGAAGGCAACTTTTCATATTAATAAAACTTTTTTTATGCACTCCACCTTCTACCACTTATCCATCACGACAGTCAATGTGTGGAGTTCACTGCTACACGTATAGATTATAACTTTTTAATCCTGTGTATCAAAACATCATTACTCTGTATCGAATCATATAAACGATTTCATACAGTATAGTTGGACATCACTGCAATGACCTGTTTGTTTACTTTTCATCTAGAATGGATTGAAATTAACAACATATAACAATAATGTACTTGTTATAATATTACACACCAATGAAGAACAATAAAAAGAGCTTACTTAGGTTTAAAAAAAGCATTTCCGTCAATTCTTAGTACTGTTATGTTTTATTGATGTGGGTATGTTTGAAGCATTACCCGCTTTGAAAAGCCTCAAATTGTTAGCTTTTTAAGAAATACAGATAGCGGTAATATATTCCATCCCTTAGCGGTACGCATTCAGAGGGAGGAAGAAAAACGCTTCATACTAAGTAGTGGTTTAACAACGCCAAAGGGTTGTAACGTTGATGGAAAGTTTCTGCGCACACTTCACGAAATGTATCCTGTACAACTCAATACAAACCCGTATTACATAAAAAAAACTGTCATTGTCAAATAATCTTAATTTCATAGTTAAGTAAATTCTGCTCATTCGTAAGGCAGATTCCGCTGAGAAGAATGAACAAGAAACTATATAATGCTTATAACTTACCTATAACCTTTCTCTACAGGCATTCCCTTCGAAACAGCGCCTAACAAATTCGAAGCTCTCGCCTGTCACGACGCAATGGTGGAGGTGTCGGGGGCCCTCAACACCATCGCTTGCTCCCTCATGAAGATAGCCAACGACATCAGGCTATTGGCCTCTGGCCCGCGATGTGGTTTGGCTGAATTGATGCTGCCTGAGAATGAGCCTGGATCTTCTATTATGCCTGGTAAAATCAATGTTACTAAAAAATTAACCAATAAATATGACTGTACTGGAGTTTTGTTGTTTTTAAATAGTTGTGTTAATTAATCAGACAACGAAGAATCAATATATTGACTCACCCATAGAACAAAAGCCTATGTGTAAGACTGCTTTTTCTCAGAACATACATTTCGTTCGTTGTTCTTCGGTGTGGGTGTCATATCGACTGTTGTTCGATTTAAATTTCCGAAACGAAACAACATTTAAAAATTCTGAAAACACCGATCGAATGGCTATATTTTAAATAACGAGATAATGTATTTATCTTATTTTCGCTTTATAAACACATCAGACTCTGTTCTTCGGATGGGTCTATATATAGAGAAATATTGAGAAAAGTCGTACAGAAATAGTTAAATTTATCATATTTTTTTCTTCTAAATTTATCTATGTTATTTATATAAATAATTATAAGATACATGGCGATGGCTTTCTAGAATAGTGACCTATCTCAAAAGCAACTAATTCACCAGGAAGACGGTTTAAAAAACATGAGAAATGAAAAATTAAAACAGTTCATTTGCAAGCAAACGCGGTAATTTGATGGTAAAAGTGAATGTGAAAGTAAAGTGAAGTGAGTTTAGTTGAATTTGATTTAAAGTACTATCAAATTCTTATGAAAACATATCCAAACTATACTATATCCATTACACAATACACACTGATACACATACCTGATTCGAATTCAAGCTACCTTTATATCACAATGTTTTTATATTTAATACAAAACACACTTACACATTTTTACACATACACTAAAAAGCAACAAAATATTCGTTCCATCATACATATCAGAAATATGGTCGCTTCAGATATAAAACATGAACTATCATTCTACGTCCTAATAATTATAGTCTGGCCAAGCTAAGTCTGCATTGGAATAAATTGGCATCCCCGTGAGAAGATAATGTTGGCAACATTTCATATCTATCACACACACACACACACACACACCAATACAATCATCACACACACACAACAATACACTCACACTCAAACACACGACCAATTTTTAAATATTATCTTAGCAATCTCAAGTATTATACACTTAATACTCATACTCTTTAGTTATTAAAAAAAAAAACAAGTTATTAATGTACAACAGTTGTAGTACATCTATGTAGATTTAGGTGGTGGAGAGCCTGGAGATTCGACACAGGTTTTTTCCTAGTGCAAACTCCAGCGCTCTCAAAGGAAACTTAGTAATAGGGGTTAAAGTATGAAATTGCCGATTTGTACTGGAAATCTAAATTGTTTATTTTTTAAATTTTTAACAAATTTATTTAATCAAAATAGTTGCCATTATTATCTATACATTGCTGCCATCTAATGGGAAGGTTATTAATGCCTTTGCGATAGAACTCCGACGATCTAGACTGCACAAACTGTATGAAAGCATTTTGTACTGCCTCCTGGGAAGAAAACTTCTTGTCACGTAGATAATTGTCCAAACCACGAAAAAAAATGGTAGTCCGTTGGAGCAAGGTCTGGTGAATATGGAGGATGACGAATGGTTTCTAACTGCAGTTCCTGAAGGGTCAAAATGGTTTCTCGTGCTGTGTGAGGTCTCGCGTTGTCGTGGAGCAATAATGGTGAAGATCGATTCATGAGTCGGGGCTGTTTTACTGCTAGTTTTGTCAACATGGTTCGGAGTTCGGCACAATAGACATCTGCCGTTATTGCTTGACCAGATCGGAGAAAACTATAGTGAATAACACCATGCTGAAACCACCAAACAGTTACCATTACCTTTTTATTGGTAAGTTTTGCTTTAGGACACTGTTGTGGCATTTGACCTGGGGTCAGCCATTGCATTTTTCTTTTCCGGTTATCATAAAGAATCCACTTTTCATCACATGTTACAATTCGATCCAATATTCCTTCATTTCTGTACCGGTTCAACAAGGCAACACATGTTTCAACACGCGTTTCTTTCTGCAGATCAGTCAAATCATGAGGCACCCATTTTTCGTATTTTTTTATTTTATTGATTTGACGCAAGTGAGTCAATATTGTGGGTAAGGTAACGTTAAACCATGCCGCTAATTCCTGGGTAGTTTGACTAGGATCGGCTTCCACTATCTCTCTTAATTCATCGTTATTCACCTGTGTGGGCGGTCTTCCTCGTGGCTCGTTCTTTAAGTCGAAATTTCCATCAAGAAAGCGTTTAAACCAAAATCGCACGGTGCGTTCATTAGTAGACCCCTCTCCAAACGCAGCATTGATATTGCGGGCTGTTTCTGCCGCGTTAGTTCCGCGTCGGAACTCGTATTCAAAAATCACTCGAATTTTCGCAGTATCCATCTTTCTTGTCTAAATTGAATAACAAAAACAATTGAAAGTCGATATTGAAATGTTTCAAATTAAAAAAAAAAAAATCACAGAAACCATTTGAAAAAAGTTTCATTCGAAAACCTCAAACCATGAAGATTCTATGAAAATTCAAAGAACCTATTGCAATAAAACGGCAATTTCATACTTTAACCCCTAATATTAAGTTATTGTACCAAAACTTTTGTACTTTACCTTTGTAGAGAGTAATAAATATTTTTGTATTTGTAATTAACATTTACGTAAATATAGTTAATAACGTATGTCCGCGTATTAGCAGTGGAGCTCCTTGTGGAAGAGTTCGTTCAGGGAAGTACTGCCACCTTATCTAATTCTCCAAGCAATGATGTGAGCATTACTACGTTTCGGTTTGGAAGGGTAAGTGTGCTGATGAAAGCACAAGGGACTTGTTAACTTATGTGTCAGGGTGACGGACGCAGTGGCACTGCCCTAAGATCTTTGCGATTTAACGCTCTGAGTGGGACTGCAACTGTTATGGATAGGCGTGGCAACTCAGAGCTTTGAATCGCAAAGATCTGCGGAGCGCTACCAACAGCGCCCGTCACCCAGAGACATAAGTTGACAAGTCCCATGTGCCTGTAATTTCACCAGCACCTTCAAAACCAAAACACAGTAATGCTGACATTACTTCTTGGCGAAATAGATAATGTGACAGTGCAATCCAGGACGAACTCTTTCAAAAGGAGCTCTCCTGCTATTAAAATGTGTTTCAATTAAATTTTTGTAGGTTTTGGCTAAAAAGGTGTTGTCATCCAGCACATAACAATTATATCTCCTTCCAGGCAAAGTGAACCCAACCCAGTGCGAAGCCCTAACGATGGTGGCAGCCCAGGTGATGGGCAACCACGTGGCCTGCACTGTCGGCGGCAGCAACGGCCACTTCGAGCTCAACGTGTTCAAGCCCATGATGGTCGCCAACGTGCTGCGGTCTATTCGGTTAATCGGTATATACAAAGTTTGCATTAACAGAGAACTGAAAACCAGAATATCTGATACCCGCCTTAATTTATACGCCAGTGTGACGTTACTCTCTATGTTTAAACTTCTTGTAAACTACAATCGTAATTAAATCAAGCGCGCTATCTATGCCGTGATATTTTACAAACTTTATTCAACTAATGAACTTCGATGATCTCTGTGGTGCAGCGTTTAGCACTGTAATCGCTAGTTGAAGACGTCTGGTGTTCGATTTTGAACCACTTTGGTTAACGAACTTTCTAAAATGGTTCTGGATAGAACCAAAGAATTGATTTCGTTTTTCTGATACTTGTACTACAAGGGTTTCCCTCGTTAAAGACCAAGTGTCGAGTGCCATTGCTTAGCACATTATCATTATTATTCTTAGTAAATATTGAAATAGAAAGCTTGTAAAGAGTTTTCAATTATAAAACTTAAATATTTCAATTCTGCAGTCCATTAATAGTTTTCGAAAATAGGATTTGATATTTCGTGCTGAACAGGCTGACTTTCAATGTACTGTTGTAATTGCAGAGTGTTTATAGATATGAAAACATAATACTTATCAATAACTTTTAAGTTTTTATTGAATCGCGATGTTTTACTACCATGATATTCAATTAGTTTTTGTGAAATTACTCCACTAGTAGTTGTTACAAAAAAAAAATAAAAACAGCAAACTGTAGTTAAAATCCAAATTCTGCCTTGTTACAGGCACGTAGTAAAAATCGTAAGATCTGCTGGTTCGTTCCATAGCTCAGTTGGGAAAAGGTCTTGCACGGATTGCCGGAAAGCGCTGGTTCGAATCCAGCCAGTTTCGATCTTTGTATTTAATATTTGTCAATAATTTGAAAACAAAAAAAACTAAAACATAATAATTCAATAATGACTCAAGTCAACCTGGCTGAAGTCAACGCGTGACCACAGCCAGTGCAACCTGGCCGAAACGTCGGGAAACTAGGTAGCTGTGAAAAATACCTATTCGTAAGTGAACGCGTTTATTCCCGTTTCCAAATGTTAGTACAATGCAACTCGAAAGCTCAAAAGTATATATTTATAATAATTTGTAACCATAACAACGTTAAGATTACTATTTTGTAACGGATGGTACCTCAATCATGTTTTCCGTTTTATCAGGCGATGGCTGCAAAGCTTTCAACAAGAACTGTGCAGTCGGTATCAAGGCGAACGAGCAGAAAATCTCTCAGATCATGAACGAGTCACTGATGCTGGTCACTGCTCTCAATCCCCATATAGGTTATGATAAGGTATGTTTCTATAAACGTAATTCATTATACTAGGGAAGTAACTGAAAATTTTGACCGAAAACGTTATTAACATCGTATGATTTAACGTTTATTTATATTTCATATGTAATGTTAGCACTTCACACGGCTATTGCGTATTGAATATATTTGGCAAACAATCACTATGTGTAAATAACATGTTTGACAAAGTGTTTGCCTTGTTTGCCTATTCGACAAATATAGCAAACGCCAAACTCGCGTTACCGCGTGCTGGTCGGTTTTTCGACCCTCACCAAAGGAACCAAATAGGCAAATACGTTTGTAAACCGTTCGCACTACGAACGAATTCATTATTTTAACTCATTTGGCTCCATGTGTAGACAGGCATATTTGTCAGTGTTTACATGTTGGTCTGTACGTATTATATGATTCGTACGAAGCGTTTTGCTTCCACATTTATATGGCGAGCGGCTAGAGAGTGGAATTCCCTACCTGCAGACTTATTACCCGAATGCTATGATTTGGACCTTTTCAAGGCGAGAGTAAATGGGCATTATTTAGGTGTGCATGCTACGTTGTCGACCTCATCATCACTTTCCATCAGGTGAGATGGAGGTCAAATGCGCCCATATTTTTTTTATAAAAAAAAAACTTAAAATATTTTTCCAAGTAGGGGAGCGTGGGTGAATGGGAGCCTACTAAGGGAAATTGATAATAAAACTCATAATTTATGCAATCTAAATTTTTATTACTTATGAATGTATGCTTCGCTTATTAAATAATCACACAAAAAATATGAAACTGAAATAAAATTTTTGGTTTAAAAGAAAAAACAAAAACATGTTATTCGCTCCCATTACCCCATTGTTATTATAAATAATCAGTCTGAAAAAGTATATAAATTAAAGTAATGAAATATATAAATTAAAAACTATTGAAAATAAACAAGAAAGTTTTAAAGGTATGTGGAATATCCAGTAGATACTGCAATGGGGCGAGGACAGCCAAATAGCTCTCATTATCCGCGTAACATTGAATTTAAAAAAAAAACAGTAAAAACATTCAATTTTTATTGTAATTTCAAGCATAACACCTAAAATTTGATACATATGATGTCATAGCTAGTGTAAATACAATATAGTATCTATGCATTTTAAGGCTTAACTGTGATGATGAAATTTGGCAATTTTTATAAGCGGGGAGCGAAAAACACAACCATCTCGTACGACTAAACGCGGGGTTCTGCGGTGGCGCCCGCGGGAGACGAGGTTTGTGGAACGGTAACGAAGTCAGGAGTACCGTTTGCATAAATACGAGCATCGGCAAAGTCCAGTTTGACGCAGCTCTCATTACCCGCGGGCTCCCAATACCCCAAACACAATACATCAAACATCCAATAGCGAATACAAGTAGCCTTGTGAAGTGTCTAAAACAAAGTCCCAGCCGCAACCTGTAAAGTGCCCGAAATGTTGACTCATTTGAAAAAAACAATATACGCGTTTTACATCCGAAATAATGACAAACTTCGATATAGTTTATGTTACATAGCATTAAAACAATCATTTATGTGATTTATATTTCAAATGAAACTAAAATAAAAAAGTCAATGAATTGGTAATGTACAAAATTTTATAACATATAATATACTTTCATTGTGTTTGCATGCCTCATGTTTGATCGGGCACAGTAAAACAAATAATAATAATTTGGCTACAGCATAAATATAAAGTAAGGTTATTACAATACAAGATGAGATCCCTGACTCTCAAAGTAGGGTCATCTATGACATGCGAGCCAGTATTCTTGTTTCGTCAACTTCTATACAACTTGTGTTTCCACCATAAAATGAATTGTTAATTATGAATATGCGTAACTGAGTGAACGGAAAGTTAAAGCCAGAATCATATATATATGATTTTCTAGAATGTGTCAAAGGAGCATCTGACTGTTTATCGGGGCGTGCTGGTCCCAACCCTGAAGCGTTTCGCAGTATATGTTGCATAATGATTTCTATTTCTATAAGTTTAAGAGTGCGTTCCCATTATGTCGTGACGACAGCTAGTCGTGCAGTTTAAAGCGTCGCGGCTTGTATATTTAAATGAAGTTGCTTACGCATAGAACAACACGATTAACTATCGTTCGATTAACTGTCGTTCACAACTTTTTTGACGTTACGATGACAGGCTGTCTTGGCAATGGGAAGAGCTAGAACGACAGTCGGCCGACGATGAATAAAACGTCACTAAAAATGTAACGACAGATAATCTTGTTGTGGTGTCAAAGATGACACTTAACACATTCTCGCTCCACACCAAATTACGTTCTTCGCCGGCTAGTAAGAACCCTACCAGTTCAGTCGCCTAGACCAGACTCAATTAGAAATGTTCATTTCTCAAATTGGTCTTACCAGGATACGAACTTGAGGCCTCATCTAGCGCACACAGTAGAAACCGCTAAGTCACAGACGTCATCTATTGTTGTTAATTAAATATTTATTTAAAACATCAAATTTTCTTTACAGGCCGCGCAAATTGCGAAAACAGCCCACAAAGAAGGTGGCACACTTAAAGGTACAGCGATCAAGCTAGGTATCCTCACCGCTGAACAGTTCGACGAATGGGTGAAGCCTGAAAACATGCTCGGACCTAAGTAAAGATCTTTGTGGAGAGTTGTACACACCATAGTCGATACATCGATCAATTCCAACTGTCTAGTTCATATAATGCCATGAGATGCTATTGCTTTTTAGTCTATACTCAAAGAATATTACGTCGACCATTTTCATATTGTTATTCATATACATTTCTTTTTTATACTGATGTCAAATGTTTGCCTACAACCTTACCTAATGGTGATTCAGATGGTAGTCGAGTGTGGAATTTGCTTCTAGAAGGTGCATTTTTGTATTGACCTTAAAAAGACCTACAATATCATATTGTGTATTATTCCTGTTACGTCGAGTTTTCAAGATTCTTAAATTCAGAATTACGGTAACAAAATATATTTTTTAAATTGTTTACATATTTAAAAACAATATAATGTCATGGCATTATTATGGGGCAAAAGCCGCACCGTTTTTACATTTAACGATTGATTGATTTTCTACCAATCACATCACTATTTTGGTAAATTGATTTTTAAGCTCCAACAAAAATCACGATCTTTTAACTGGTGTGTATAACTCTTAAAGTTATTGTTTTATAATCAGGAAAAACAAACGTAATCAAGTATATGCAATCATAATTACAGGTACCGGCAAACATCTTGAGCATAGTGTAACGTAGTGGGGGAAATTACGCGCATCTACACTTACGTGCATATAAAAGAGTTTAAAGATTATATTTAATCTTTTTTTTATTATTATAATACATACATATAGGTATGTTAGCATACTATTCCATATGTTAGTCTTTAAGCTATGCATTATATAGGTCACAGTTGCTTGATTTAAACATAAAATAAATATTGTGCAAAGCGTTATATTACTGAGACCTCGTAGAAAAACAATTACTACTCTATTTTAAAATATAATTTTATGCATAAGTATAATTTTCATAGGGTATAATTTACTTCTCGCCCTCTTTCTACCGGGGTAGATAGAGGCAACAGCGCCTGCTACAGTAAGTCGGAGCGTTTAATTTCAGTAATAATTCGTCTACAGATCATCTTGAAAATTGGTTAACGTAGTAGGGGAAAGTTTGCATCTAAATTTACGTAGGTACGAATTAAGAGTATTCCGCATTATAATAAATAATATGAAAGCTTTATATTTCAGAGATTACATAAAATAAACAATTAATGCTATATTTAAAAAAAAACTTTATTCATAGGCTATAATTTACATTTACTTCACACCCTCTTCCCATCGGTCAATACAATCTTGCTAAACTTGTATGTGTAAGTACATAATTTATTATTATGGTAGGAAATCTATCCCTTCCATAAGGTCGAAACCAGTAAAACCAGAGCTGGTGCTGGGGGTTGGGTCAGTAAAAGCAGAGCTGGCCCTAGGGGTTGGCTCAGCACAAGCAGAGCTGGTGCTAGGACTTTGTTCTTGAAAATCATCTTCGTAATAACTGTATTCATTTGAGTCACTGTCATCATCGACAGATATAATGAATTCATCAGTGACCACATCAACAACATGGTCACTTTTTATATATTGTGCCTCAATCTCCTTCACTTTTTGGCATAATTTTCCCCATTCGCTGGCACCCATTAACACAACTTTCTCCTTCACAAGCTCTATTACTGTGTTAATGTTCCAGCTTACATTTTTGCTACTAACATACCCTTTAATGGCTGCCCAAGCCATCTCTATTGGGTTGAGATCTGGATGGTACGGAGGTAAGCGAAGCACTGAATGATTGTGGTCAGCTAATATTTTGTCGATGCTAAATTTCTTGTGCTGCTCTTTACTTTTTTTTATTAAGTTATAAATTTGGGGTTTAAACATATTTTCGTGGTACTGAATGCCCTTTTCTTGCAGCCATTTCTGCATATCTGCTTTTTTGGAATTTGCAGTTGGGGCGGGATTCGACTGTTTATTATGGTAGGATGCGTTATCAACTACTACGACCGAATTTGGTGGCAGATTGGGTAGCAATTGACACCGCACCCATTTTTCGTAATTTTCGAAATTCATATTGTCATGATAGTCACCAGATTTTGTGCCCGCTTTAAATAAAAGAAGCGCATTGGGAACAAATCCAGCTTCGGAACCCGCGTGAACAATGACAACACGTTGCCCTTTCGAAATAGGTTTTTTAAGACCCTCAGTTGACCCATCTGACCATGATTTGCAACTTGCATGCGAAGAGTCGACATAGGACTCATCGGTGTAAATTACAGGTCGTCCTTCTTCTCTATACTTGCGTATTTTTTGCAGATAGTCAATACGTTGTACACAGTTTGTGACAACAGTTTTCTATTGTTTTCTGTTTTTTTCCATCGGAAGCCTAAAGCGTGTAATATTCGCCGTAAACTCCGAAGTCTGTTTCACCGTTTCATTATAAGATTTTCCGTCTTTCTTCAAGAAGCAATACACGTCATACACCATTTTTCTGGCTTGCCTTTTTAAAACTATGTTAGTTTGTCGTGGCATAATGTCCCTTTTATTTAAATATGAACAACAACTCGACAAACAATTATAACAACAAAACTCAACAATCCAAAAAACAATAACGAAAACTTTATAAGAAAAACAATAACGAATAACTTTTTGTGCACGGGAGTGTATGAGGAAGTCAGCGGGGACGTAGACGCACTGCGGGGCGCAAGGGCGACTGATCTACCAATCGCGCGCTCGATATGATTGTCCTCCCGCGTCGCTCCCCGCGCTTTCCACCATTGAGACCTAAAATTCGTTTCTGCGCATTCATAGCTTACGCTCAAGATGTTTGCCGGCAACTATAAGCATGTTATTTTATGTATTTATAAAGTATCTTATAAGATCTCTTTTTGTTGTAATGGAGATTCCTAGTTTGACTATGGAATCCTAAGAAAAAATAAACTTTGTTAATAACGTAAGTAAACAATTGTGACAATCCGCGTGTAATGGTACCATATAGCTGGATTTTAACACGTTAATACCTCCACCGAAGCTCAGAGTTGCAATTACAGAACTGAAACGCTATGATGGCCGTTTTGACAGCTTAAAATAGTGAGGTCAAATCTCAATTCATTTTGGAAAAAAATATAATCAATTGCGAGTCGCATCTTTAAGTGTTTAGATTTAAAACTAGTATTGCAAGGGGTAGTTGATTAAAAAGTTTTAATAAACGTCACAATTGCAGCTTAGAGTAAGAAAGTATCGCCTAAACCCGAGTTTATTTCCAAAAAATGTTGGTACATTTGTTACTTTAAAGGGTGATAATACACTAGTCCAAACACAATTCCGATAAAATATTTTTTTTTAAATTACTGATTAATGTTCAAAAATATGTTTTATTATAATATAAAAATAAGTTATGTACGATTTTACATACATAACTCAAAAACTCCCGAAATACATATCCAGAAACCATTGGGTTTAGAACAAGTTTTTATGCATGGTTTAAACGAAAATTATATTTCATATTAGTATTATATACAGTTAAAATATATCCACAGCATTCCATAGCCTTAAAGCAACAAAATGTACCAACATCTATCGAAAATGAATCGGGTTTAAACGTTACAAATTTAATGTCGCCTCTCGAGCTGCAACTGAACCCGGGACTAGATTTGTCTCAAATTTCATTATTGTTGACAAGAAAACAGTCACGGAATCACACGGTACTCGCATTTGGTCTCTTTCGGGTTCCGTTGCAACTTTAAACCGACCCCTGGTTCAGATACTACAAACCCTAAATTGGGTTTACTGCACGTCACTATTGACAACAATGTTCAGCAATTGGCTCCTTCAACGTAGTTATGAATTAATACGAAACTTGATGAGCGGACAAACGTCAAAACGGTCATCATAGCGTGCCTGTACTTTAGTGATCATTACGATAGATTGATTGAGACTATCAGCGCAGAAGTGGTAACCCACCACACGTTTTTTTCTACAATACTACTTCAAATGATACTAAAATACATAATTGCTAAAAAAATATTTTTTTTAATACATGCAAATAGCATTCAATGTATAAAATAACTATGTATTTTAGTATAATGGGATATTGTAAAAAATAAATTAATGCGGGTTGCACCATTTTTGCACTGATACCCTCAATTGCTGGTCGCAGTTTTCAATAGAAGGCTGCAGTGACTCAGAATATGTAACCCCAATCCTCTAGATGAAATGTCCACAGAACGTAAATGAAATATGTATAATAAAAATATATTTGTAATATGAAGTTTGTTGACTATCACGATGTTTTATTACAATGATATTCAATTATTTTTTTTGTGAAATTACTCCACTGATTTATTATAATTATAATATTAATACAGAAGACACAGAAAATAATTCATTGGATCCGGTTGGATTCAAACCAGCATCTTCAGCATACCAGGCCGATATAAAAATATAATTGTTGGTATGATACACAGCACGGTATTCTAAACTACATACCATTGTAAATAATTTCATAACAAATCATGTTTTATTTTAGTAAAAAAATTGTGTAAATTGTAATAAGTATATTTCTCGTTTTGAGGAATTTTTTTTTTTTTCAGTTTATATTTGCTGACATTATACAGGATATGAAAATAAAATTTGCGTTTTTATTGTCTTATTACATGAGGTATTTGACGTCTCACAGGGAAGTATCTTCGGTCCGACTCTATTTCTAGTGTACATCGATCAATGTCCTGTGTCAGCTCCCCTTGTCGTATGGGAGAGTATTTGCTTATCTTTAAACTCATGGCTAGAGGCATTCCGTCAAGCTTAATTGGGTTTTGATGCGGTGCATAATTGGTTGAAGTCCAACACTCTAACGCTAAACACTGATAAAAGTATCGTTGTAACTTTCAGCAGGACGAAGGCTTCTCAGCCCGATCCATATCCCCATCGCATCATTGCCCATTGCTGATTCCCCTGACACATATTACTGCAACTGCCCTATTACTACCAATGCTGAATATGTTAAGTATCTAGGTATTTTGATTGATCGCACTTTAACTTTAAGCCACACATTGATGCACTCTTCTCGCGTATCAGAAAGCTGATATTTGTTTTCAAAAATCTACAACACGTTGTTTTCTCTAATATCATAAACGGTTGATGTAGCCGTCTGCCAATGATTACTTGTTTACTGTATCACTGAATGAAATGGAGCTGCTAAAACTAACGTTCTCAAATTAGAATGTACTTACTCAAAGAACCGTTTTGAAAGTGGGCTGGAAATTACCATTCCTGAATCCCACAAAAATTGCGAAGTGTTAACAATTCGCCAACTCTTTCTCGTCCATACAGTTTTAAAAGCACACTCCCTAACGAAATTTGAGCCAAATTCAGTGATCAATAAACGCCGTAAACATTTTGTTCATTCACACTTCGCAGCAAATATTCGCTTTACATTGCACAGCGATTCTTTTGCTTTTTGAGTGTCTATTTAAACAACGAATTAAAGTTATTACTTCAAGTTTATAAACTTTGCAGATATGACTGTCAACATAATATATGATCGTCTACTTAATTTATTTACTTTACTGTTATTAACTGAATCTTCAAAAGATTCACTTGACACTAAGAGTTCAATGTTTAATATGCGTTGTCTAATTGGGTGGGAGCTGGTGAGCTGTAATAATTCCTGTTCAATATGAAATACACGTAACCAAGTTTCTTCCTTTCTAATATTATTCAAATATTGCTCATGTACTACAATTATTTTCTGAACTTTAACAAATATGCGTTTCAATAGATAGTGTATGGTATTACAATTACAAACTATAATTATAAATTACAGTTTGCTAGTATGGGTAGATGGCGCTACTAAACAAAATAAAATAATCCACGAAAATCTGTGAAATAAGCGCCATATTAATTGATTTGTTTGTTATAATATATCACTAGAAATTAAAGTAGGTTTTTAAGTAGCTTTGATAAATTGCAGCTCGTCAATGTAAAAATAGAACGCGGTTACCGGTCCATGATAATAGCGACATTTTTTTTTAATGCTGATCGATTCAGTTTCATGTAAGGATCATTTTATGGTACCGAAGAAAAAATCGGGACGGCAGAAGTTGGCAAATTTAATAAAAACTTTTTCATAGAATAGCAAAATGCGACGTGCACTACATTAAACAATAGTTCAAATAGTTAATAATGAAAAAAAAATTCATATTAATTGTACAACACGACTTAGCTGAACTATGGAACTTTGGTCTTATATGCATAGAACGCTTTTAAGGCACTTAAAAGTTTTTGCATAGATTTGTGAACGCCATGCTGCTATTACGAATTACCTATATGAATAATAAACTTTATAAAAATCTAGAACTCATAGACTAATATATAATACTGGAGACTAGAACTACTAACTGTATAATAATATAATTTATTTAGCCTATCCCGAAGACAAGAAATTTTACCACTACCATGGTAGCTTCTATCTGATTGAGTATTATTTACAATATTACATCGAATTATCCTTACATAGTTACAGAGTAAGTAAATGTGGAGGAATTAATAGTGATTATCACAAATTGGAAAGATATAGGTGGTCTATCCTCTTTGAAATTATCCCTACCAATTTTAGCGAAAAATTTTTCCCGATCCTTAGATTTTGAAAAGCATAGACTAAGAATTCGTTCACGGCACTAATGCGGAATCCATTCGGTCACTCAGATTACCAAACCGGAAACTGATAATGTGCGGGAAAATTAAAGCTAGGTAGTAATATTTCATTCGGCCCAAGCTTAGTGGCTACCATTTAAGCAAATAAGAAAATTAAATTGATATTTTTTTTTAAAACAAAGACAGTTTAAATCTATGTTTTAGTTACAAACGTTAGATTCTTTTTCGTATCAATAATTTGACAAAAAATGAAAGTTTCGAAAAAAAAAGAAATTAATTTATAACAGCTGATATTTTTACAAATTACTATTTTATAAATATATTTATATTGTTTTTATAATACTATACATAATAGTTTGAGCACGGCGATGACTTCATCAGTTATCAAACTGTCTAGGCTAGTAAATGTTCATTTACATAAATGTCCTTGGGCTTCTCGCCCCTTTGACAGTTACTATTTTTCTACTACGAATAATTCTAAGGTAAGAAAATTTATATGAGAATACAAAGCCTTGGAACGTTCAAACTTGTCGCTAAACGACGGCAAATTTATGACTACTGAGTTTATACCTAACTATAATAACTTATATGAATGTATGTACGTATGAATGAATACCGAATAATAATAATAATGAATATGAATTAAAAGTTTCATTATTAAGAAGCACCTATGTTCTCTAAAGTTTGATGTTTATTATTTCTTGATAGAGACAATAATTTTTATAAGCATCAATCAAACTTAACAACGATGATGGTTTACCTTTTGTTTTAATACAGAATTGTTGTCAAGTGAAGGTATATTATTAGCAGTGGAGCTCCTTGTGAAAGAGTTCGTCCAGGAAAGTACTGCCACCTTATCTATTTCTGCCACCAAGCAGTAATGTGACCAATACTGCGTTACAGTTTTGAAGGATATGGGTGCTGGTGAAACTACAGGCATATGGGACTTATCAACTTATGTCTCACGGTGGCGGGTGGCAGATCTTTGCGGTTTAAAACTCAGGCACCGCAACTGTTATGGACAGGCGCTAGGCGTATCGCTTACTACCAAGCGTCAACGCCCATTTACACGAGGAGAAAGTTTTCGCGCGGCCGCGCGGTTGTATTTTTCGGAGGAATTTAAATGTTGTTGCCTAAAAAATAGAATTCAGACTCATCATTAATGTATGTACGTGAAGGCGTGGTAACTGGGCGGTCGCTGCGCGGCGGACGCGCGAAAACATTTTCCTCGTGTAACTGGGCGCTTAGATTTATTCGACCCATCATTTGATATCATAAAAATTACTTCTAAGTAATCTGTTCCTCATTGTAGCGAAAAGAAAAAGATACAATGGGCGAGCTTGATGTACCCGACGACAAATTGTATGGTTGTCAAACCGCCAGGTCTATTATGAACTTTCCTATTGGCGGCATTGAAGAAAGAATGCCGGTTCGTCAACACAATAATAATCTGAATTAACTTTCATGAATTACTTTTTTCCGTACTTCTATATTTTTTATATTATTATTTTACAGTATCCAGTAATTGTTGCTTTCGGTGTATTGAAAAAAGCTGCCGCAAAAGTAAATATAGAATTTGGATTAGATAAGAAGATTGGTATGTTGTGGTATCCATGAACTCTCAGTTTTGAGTAATTGTGAAACTAATTTATTAATAAATTGGCAACAGCAATTAATGTTATTGTATACGTTTTATCGCAAAGTCTATTTATAGTGATATTTCAGCGGAAGCAATTATGAGTGCATGTGATGACGTGATTTCCGGAAAGTTGTATACTGAAGGTCACTTTCCCCTGGTCATTTGGCAGACTGGTTCTGGTACACAGTCAAATATGAACACTAACGAGGTTAGAAACCTGAAGTTTTGTAACGTAATTATTTTCGTAGCTGAGGTAAAATAGTGGTTTTGTGTTAATTGTATTTCTTGCAGGTGATTGCAAACAGAGCCATTCAAGCTATGGGAGGAAAGTTAGGCAGCAAAGATCCCGTACACCCGAACGACCATGTCAATAAGTCTCAAAGTTCCAACGATACTTACCCTACGGCCATGCATATTGCTGTGGCTTTGGAAATCCGTGACTGCCTCATGCCTGGCTTAGTGGCTCTCAAGGATACATTAGAAACTAAATCAAAAAGTTTTAGTAAAATTATAAAGATTGGCAGGTGTGCTATTTCATTTTGACTTGGGTGACTTTGAAGTATTTGTTACTTACTTCATTGATTGTAACCCACAGGACTCATTTGATGGACGCCGTACCGTTGACTCTTGGACAAGAATTTAGTGGTTACGTTCAGCAACTGACTTATGGCATTGACAGAGTGTGTTCTACTCTACCCAGATTGCACTTACTAGCTTTAGGTGGTACGGCAGTTGGCACTGGCCTAAATACCCGAATTGGTTTTGCAGAGAAATGCGCTGCTGAAATTTCAAAAATTACAGGTTTGTTTTATATTCAAAGATACGAATGAAGTAAGATAAATACGTTGTTTACGTTCGCTATTTTTATCATAGGACTTCCATTTGAAACGGGGCCTAATAAATTTGAGATGCTAGCAGCTCACGATGCGATGGTGGAAGTATCTGGCGCTCTCAATGTTATCGCAGTTTCCCTAATGAAAATCGTGAATGACATAAGATTGCTTGCGTCGGGACCTCGGTGTGGTCTAGCCGAGATTTTATTGCCAGAAAATGAACCAGGTTCATCAATTATGCCAGGTAAGATTCACAATATTTCCCTGCATTCATAAGAAATAGAAAATTTAGTCAGTCTAAATTAAAACAATTTTTGGTATTGGTTTTGTTTCTCTCGTCAATATTGAGTCATTATTTTGGTCTTTTAGTTATCGGACATGATATTTAGTTCTCATCTTTGCACAAAATTAGTAAGATCGGTTATTTGAAAAAATAATTACAGGTAAAGTCAATCCAACACAATGCGAGGCTCTAACAATGATAGCTGCTCAGGTAATGGGAAATCACGTGGCTTGTACAATAGGAGGTAGTAACGGACATTTCGAGCTTAACGTGTTCAAGCCTATGATTGTTGCAAACGTTCTGCGGTCGATTCGGTTGATTGGTAAGTGTACGAAACTGTGATTTCTTTGTCATACTGCAGTCGTATAATTAAATTTAACAATCACATGTATTGCTGTGGTACACTTCGTCATATCTCCATTTACTGGATTTTTTTGTATTTCTTTGTGGTGTTTTTATTTGCGTTGAATTTTAAACGAATTAACCGATCGCCTCAATCTCTCACTATCATAATACTAGTTTATTGTGTTCCAGGCGATGGATGCCAGGCATTCAATAAAAACTGTGCAATAGGTATTAAAGCGAATGAGGCAAGGATAACAAAGATTATGACTGAGTCTCTAATGCTGGTAACTGCACTAAATCCACACATTGGCTACGATAAGGTTAATATCATATTATTATGTTCCTGTTTTCGACAACAATTTCGTTTTAAAGTTACTTCCATTTATTTACGGCTGCTATTAACATTTAACCAAATTGCAGGCTGCACACATAGCAAAAACGGCGCATAAAGAGGGTGGAAACCTTAAAGATACAGCTGTTAAACTAGGATACTTAACAGAGACGCAATTTGATGAGTGGGTACGACCCCAGGACATGCTGGGACCAAAATAAATATACACATGGTTTCGATCATTGAATACAGAGATTAGTAGAGTAAAACAAAATGTAGGCACAGAGTTAATTTTAGTTTTACCATCTTTATAGGTATCATTCAATACTTATAGATTTACCTGAGAAATTAAAGAATGATCGTGTTAATTTCCAAAATGATATTTATATCGCCTTATGCTTGTGCTTATTTATTTAATACCATTCTGAACTTTTTTTACTATTTGGGTCAAACGACTTTTAAATGTTCATGAAATTTTTAATTTTAATTTGATTGAAGATTTTAATACACATTATTATTTTATACGCTAAATAATTGATTCTTTTATAATTAGCAGTGCAAATATCGTAGGAAAAATATAATTGTTGACTTAAAAATCCATACGACCGGACTTGTGCTTGATACAGCTAAAGCAACTATCCCGGTGTGAAGTAACGCCTCACCCTGAAAAGGAAGCCAAGCTTCCTGGCTGCATTTTTGGCCATAGATTCAATGTATCTGTCGAAATTCAGATTGGACGACAGGTCCATTCCAAGTAGCCGGAGACGGTCGGCTATCGGTATGGATATATCACGAAAAGTGTGTAGAATAGACACACCTGCATTTTGGTAGCATTAAATTTGACAAGATTGGCATCGCCCCAATCGGAGACGGCTGAATGTCAAATCCAAATGGCTAACTATAAACTCTCAATAAGATTGGATTTCCTCTCTACGGACCCTTGCATTGGTCAAGTACCTTTCTACAACTGTGCTGTCATCAGTGTACGTATAAGTACCTGAAATTAACATATCAATGATATGCAGCAGGAAGAGTGTTGCAGACAGTACGGAACCTTGAGGGACTCTATCGGGCATCTATCGCCCGATGTTCGGAAGAGTAGCATTCCAAGATCACTCAAATGGAACTTTCGCTCAAGAAATCCGAGATCCAATTGCAAAGGTTAGTGGAAAGCCCATAACATGGAAGCTTACTTATAAGGCTTGCGTGCCAGACCCTGTCAAAGACTAGAAATGTCCAAAGACACTGCAAGTGCGTCGCCTTCCTTTTCTATAGCCTCGCTCCATACGTGATAGGCATACACAAGAAATCCCCAGTAGATCGCTCTCTCGTATTGGCGATCACCGAGGAGGTCGTTGTCTTCAAGGTACGACAGGAAACTGTTGTTGAGTACATGTTCCATAGTCTTGTAGAGTATGGAAATGACTGATATAGGTTTATAATTGATAGGGTCAGCTCTGCTTCCTTTTTTGGGTACAGGTTACACGTTTGCAAGCTTCCACGACCTGGCAACTGCACCAGTCTCAAGTGACAGGCGATACAGGCGTGTGAGAACAGGAGACAGCTCAGGCGCACAGTTACGTAGGACCACTGTTGGAATTCCATCTGTAACCGTTAGCTTTTTTCTAGTCAAGATTCCGCAGAGTTCTAAGTACAACTTTTTGGGGTATTTGAACTGGCGCCATAGTGCAGTCAGCCTGAGGTAAGGTAGGTTCCCTGCGGCACCCAGACGCAAACTTTCTGCAAAGAGTGAGGCAAAGGGATTCGCCTTCTCTTCTGCAGTATGGGCCTGAGTGCCATCCGGTCTTAGCGGAAGTGGCAAAGATGGGCGACAAAAATTACTTTGGACCGCTTTGGCCACGAACCAAAAGGATTTGCTACCTGCTGGATAAGAGGCAAGCTTGGAGCCTATGCTTTTGCACGCTTTTGCACTTCTTGAGTGCACTTGATCGAACTTGACCCTTTGTTACACGCTTTTGCACTTCTTGACGGCTATATTAAAAGCTTTCTTCAGATTTCGAGTACTCGGAGCTTTGCTCAGTCGAGCATCTGCCCATGCTTGGTACGTTCTTTTCAGATATTCCCATTCTACAAAATAAATTCCAAAAATCATATAGAACAAGTATTTTAAACAAATAATTCAAGGAAAATTGTAGCTTTATTATATAAAGAATAAAACTACACGAATTTGTCCCACGGACAATCAATTTGGTTGTCCATACGACAGGTTGTCCAAGGGACTTTTTTATAATTTAAGCTACCTGAGGAAGAAGTGAGGTTTTGTGTCTTTTATATCACTCTCACAATGAAACCAAGAGTAAATAGAATCTGTTGCACCATAATTCAGTATGATATAACAATCTATTTACCTATTTCTTGTGGTGGTCCGGGGGATACACAATAAACACACCCACTCTCTTAAGCGCAACTCGGCCAACTGATGCCACGGGTTCGCCGAAATCAAGACGACAACTAAGTGTGTTATCTTGCTGGTAACAATAGCTATTTATCATTATAGCTATCGCACCATCTCTGTATTGTTGTTAGAACTTTTTACCGGTTGTCCAATAGACTTAAGTCACGTAAGATTTTATGGGGACCAAAACTTAATGCAAAAAAATCCTAAAATTGATAAAATAAAAAATTTAAATATGTAATTACAAATAATTGCTGGATATTGATTTTTTCGTGGTATGAAATATCATGGTGCGACAGTTACTTGAAGACAAACCATAATACGATGGATCGATATTTTGGATCACTCGGACAACCATTAAATAATTGGATAATTTAGTAAAGATGTTAGTTAATGATATATTTATTTTGGTATTTATTTTAAGAAAACCATATATAAAAGAAGTATAGTTTTAAAGAATTCTTGTTAGTGTTCTCACTTTGCCTGGGACACAATGAGTTGGTCGTCGACAAATAAAAGTTGATTGACCCATTTACTTGTTTTTATTTTAATTTCCTTTTTATATCTGTGCTATTTGACTAATAAACTTTTGATTTGCTTTAAGAGATTAAATAAAATGTTAAATATGATTCAACAATTTATTTGTAGTTTTAATACCATTTTGTTACCTTTAATTATTTAATCACAAAACAGGATCTCGTTCAAAAATTCTTCATTCCAATTTTCCCCAATATTGATTATTTTTTCATAGACGAACGCTAGGGCAGATGACTATCATCTTGAAAGAAATGGAAACAGGCAATAATGAAAACTCTCAACTCCTCCGAGGCCGAACGGTTACCATGCCGGACTGCCACGTAGTGGTTCCAGGTTCGATTCTCGGGCCGGGAGAAATATTTGTATGGCCTACATTTGTTTCTCTCGTGAGTTTGGGTGTAATTTGTGGTCGTATATATGTGTGTCCTTGGCACCCGCGACACAGTGTTTCCCTAGTGCGGGTCTATGTTGAGTGTTTGCGTTATTATTATTATTAATAAATAAATAAATAAAATAAAATTGTTTAGCAGTTGTTTATTATATCTACTTTAAACTCTATTATTATACCAAAAGAAACCTTTATGATATTGTTGATATAAACTGACACTGGCCCAAAAATAATGTTAACTACTAGTACTTAGTATGGACGCTGAGGAGTTCTGAATATCTTTGTGGTTCTGATTAGTTCACCATAGACCGTGGCTTATGGATTTTGAAGGGCTTTTGTTTCCATAGTCTAAGGGTTTTGTAAGCATTTATTTTTTAAATCTATGGCATTTATTTTTTAAATAGGTATATCGACTATGATAAACTTCTCAGTTTGTTTAATTGTCGTTGCTCTGTTTAATTCAAAAAAATATCAAAATTTTTAGTAGAGCATTGCCGTAAATTTAAATTTTCGAAATGGCGTGTACCATTTGTCTTAATCCTGATGGAAAACCGGTAAAATTCGTAAGTACCATTATACTATTTTAGTACACAAGGAACGACAACTGATGAAAATATAAAGTATAAAATCTAGTCAGACAGGCCGTAGCTACTGAATTTATTCTGATTACAGCGGAAAGAAAACGATACTATGGGTGATGTAGATGTGCCTGATGATCGATTGTATGGCGCTCAAACCGTGAGGTCTATCATTCACTTTCCTATCGGCGGAATTGAGGAAAGAATGCCTGTACGTATTTTTAAACCGAAGTGTTGTTAAGAAACACATTTTATTGTAATTTTTTTGTATTTACGTGTCCAGTATCCTATCATAGTTGCTTTCGGAATATTAAAAAAAGCTGCAGCTAAAGTAAACTTGCAGTATGGATTGGACAAAAAGATTGGTAAGTTTTCATTGAATGATTTAATTTCTGAGAATGTCCACTGACGTTCCATTAAATGAATGATTATGATTTTAGCGGAGGCAATAATGTCAGCGTGTGACGAAGTAATTTCTGGAAAATTATACCGAGAGGGTCATTTTCCTCTTGTTATCTGGCAGACTGGTTCAGGAACGCAGTCAAATATGAACGCCAATGAGGCTAGTATTTGGTGATTAGCAATACTTCACGTCATGTCCTAGAATAAAATTTGAAACAAAACTACCTCAATGATCAACTACCTATTAAAATGTCATTAGTCTATTATGAGTGTAGTAGCTACCTAAAACATTTTCCAGGTGATTGCGAACAGAGCTATTCAAATAATGGGAGGAAGATTGGGTAGCCAAGATCCAGTACATCCAAATGATCACGTTAATATGTCTCAAAGTTCCAACGACACTTATCCTACTGCCATGCATATTGCTGTAGGAATGGAAATTCGTGATCGACTAATACCCGGACTCGTGGCTTTGAGAGATACATTGGATTCAAAATCTAAAGAATTTGCTCACATAATCAAAATCGGCAGGTTACTAACTGGTAATTTACAGTAATGTTTGGAAAAAGTAGCACTTTGAAAATTTACGATTACAATCCACAGGACCCATTTGATGGATGCTGTACCTTTAACTCTTGGTCAGGAATTCAGTGGTTATGCCTATCAGCTTACCATGAGTATTGAAAGAGTGTGTTCAGCTCTACCCAGATTACATTTATTAGCGATAGGTGGAACTGCCGTCGGTACTGGTTTAAACACCCGTGTCGGTTTTGCTGAAAAATGCGCTGCTGAAATAGCAACTCTGACAGGTAAAACAAGTCTTGGTCATTATTACACATACTTTAGAAACAAAGTAAAAGATTTACGAATTAAATTTAAGATCTGATGAACTACTATTTTCCCTTCCTAGGGATCCCTTTCTCAAGTGGACCTAACAAGTTTGAGATGCTAGCAGCTCACGATGCTTTGGTAGAAGTATCTGGCGCTCTCAATACCATTGCAGTTTCACTAATGAAAATTGGCAATGATATAAGATTATTAGCATCGGGACCTCGCTGTGGTTTAGCTGAGCTGATATTGCCAGAAAATGAACCAGGCTCTTCAATTATGCCGGGTAATCGAAACATTAAATCTTAATGTCAGGGGGCCTACCACAACCTCTTAATACAATATTACTTTAACCTTACATTGACCTTCGTACAATAACGCGCTTAAAGTAAGCTTATTGTAATGTTAAAACTACGATGTTTTATCAAATTGGCATCTTTGTGAGTATTCATTCACTCAGTTCGTACTATGACGTGACGAATATTGCTCTTATGTCAAATTTAGCAATCTCCTTCAATCAATCAAGTCCTTGTCATTAGGATCGTATTTCCAGTGCTTGAAATCATATTCAAGTCCTGACTTGAGCCTTGAGTAGAGTTCTGGAATACAACCCTAATGACAAGGACTTGAGTTTGATTTCTATTGCTTTAAATCATACTCAAGTCCTGACTTGAGTATTAAGTAGTGTTATGGAATAACACCCTCAAAATTGATGCAATGGAAACAATATTATTCAGTTTTATTGTCTTAATATTGATTTGTAATGATAAAAAGTTCAGTTGAACTTATTTATTTACATATAGCTCCTCAATATTTTGTTTATTTTTTATTTAATAGCACATAAGGAAAGAATTGTTTATTTCGTAAAATATGACAGCGCCATCTATATGCTCCTTGGCGAACCTAACAGTTGACACTAGACTATAGTTCCGAATCCACAACGTGACTATCAAGACTCAGCTTGTTTTATTTATTTTGCTTTATGAAAATGCGGAATAATTATTGAAAATATCATAATTTTAATAAATTTTATTATTACATACTTTACTTTTTTTAACAGCCATAATTCTCTGAATGTAAATAACATTAAGTACTTAAACATTGTACTACGATAAGACGATTCGGAACATCATAAAAGAAAGAGATGGCATTATCTAGTTCACACAGCGTTATCTCTTTCCTATTTTTAGTAAGGAATAGACAATATTGGGAAATCATTTGTTCTTTCCATCACTTTTGTAAATAATACATTACTTGGTTGACATGTTCGTCATGGTACGAATATGAGTAATATTATAATAAGCTTACTTTAAGCTTACACTGAAATAAAATTATTTTTGGAAAGGTTATGGTAGGTCCCCAGGTCCATAACAATGTCTATTATTATCAAATGTATTTCTGTAATAGGTAAAGTAAATCCAACACAGTGCGAATCCTTAACAATGGTTGCAGCACAGGTGATGGGTAATCACGTGGCATGTACGATAGGAGGCAGCAATGGCCATCTTGAACTTAACGTATTTAAACCCATGATAGTGGCAAATGTACTGCGATCTATTCGTTTAATTGGTGAGACAATATTAGATTAACCTATTTGACTTTTTATGATATATTTTCCATTAGAAACAACATTTTTGTATACTGGCTCAATTTTAGTCATCAATGTAGTGATATTTTACAGGCGATGGATGCCAAGCGTTCAATGCACATTGCGCAAAGGGTATTCAAGCGAACGAACACAAGATTGCTCAAATCATGACTGAATCTCTTATGCTTGTCACCGCGCTGAATCCTTACATAGGCTACGACAAGGTAAAAATATACCTACTTTTTATTGTTCTTGCCTTGGAATTTCAGAATTATAGACTTCATTCAATTCTCTTACAGGCGGCATTAATTGCTAAAACTGCTCACAAAGAAGGCGGAAACTTAAAACAAACTGCTGTCAAGCTAGGGATTTTGACAGCAGATCAATTCGATCTATGGGTCGTACCTCAAAATATGCTTGGGCCTAATTAAAAACGGACAAGTTCAATAGAACTTGTAGAACATTGCGCTGTACTGTTTATATGGCTACCAAAGATTCATTAAATAGGTGACGCTTAGTTCTAAAACAGAATAATAAGATTAGTTCACTTGCTGATTATAGTTCACTTGGTTCGTAATTCATTTTAGTCTCCCGTGACCCAGCAAAGTACGAAGCGCTAAACGTCTATACATTAAAATTTACTAAATATAATTACATGCTTCAGGCCCTAGTAAGCATGTCCTAAGTTTTGTATGAAAAACGTATTTTTCTACATACCCTATGATTATATAGAATACCTACATAGCTCTAAATTTAAATGCTATGTTCTCATTATAACGTACACTGAGCGTTTTCGTGATCATAGGTTTCATATTACATTTTGATGTACCTGTACACGGTCCTAGGAAGTTACATCTCCGGGTGAAAATTTTACATCTTAAATTTTAAAACCCCAAGTATGTGACATGACATTACGTTCATGGCATAAATAAACAACAAGGTCCTAAAAAAGGAGAAAAATTTTCGGCTAATGTTCGACATATTGAAAATGCATAAATAGACCGTGAACAACATTCATTTTGCCACAGTTCGTGAATTAATGATAGGTTGTAGGGAGGTGTAAGGTAATTTTTATAAATAAAATTTTTAAAAAATAATCAACTGAAACTGAAGATACATAAAAACAGAAAATTTCAAAATAAAGTTCAAATTTTGTCTTTGGAAATGCTAAATATTAATGTAACGTATTCAATAAAAATGTTAATATTTTTTGTGACTATTTTATGAGTAAAAATCTATAACTATACATGTATAGTAAGTTCGTTTCATTTAATGAAGCATTGTGCTGAAGACGACTAGATGACAAAAGTTAGTATGAGAACAATGTGGTATTGTGTCGTCAAACTGATACTAAACAGTTAAATTTTAATTTTAGCGCACATTACACCAATTATTCAGGTCCAATTCATTTGTAGGTACACCTTGTTACTTTGGTTAGATTGTCCCACGGTAGGTATATTAGATTGAAAGTTGTTATATCAATCGTCAACATAGATTCGTCTATTATTTCCTGTATTTTTTTCCATCCTTTGAATATACCCAATGACCTTTAAATCGTGTAAAAATTAGTCAAATGTCTGTATACCACAAATTAAATATATTATTATTTCCTTAATAGCGGATCCGTTGAGTGTCATATCTTTGTAAGCTGAGGTTATATCGACCAAAAACATGTCGTTTATTGTTAAATTTTACGAACCGGACCTTTCTGGGAGGTGTGTTTGTAGAAGTCATTCTTCATTGGTGTCCCACTTATTTTTTTTATAATTAAATTTCAATTCATATTTATATCATAGTGAAACGAAAACTTTCTGCTAAAGTTTATTAATATTATAAATTAAACAGTTTCTGCATTCTTGGATGACAAAAATCTATGGTAGGTATGGATACGTTCTTTTGCATTCTTCATGTTTCTGGAATATTAATCATAAATCGATAAGAGTTCTTAATAATTATTTTTAGTTTTTCGAATGAATATTAAGCAGTGTTCAATAAAAAGACTTCACAGCACTGATATAGATAGATAGATAGATAGATAGATAAAACGTTTATTTGTTACTACATTCACACGTACATAACAGCAAAAAAATAATAAAAAAAACAAAAACACCGATATCGATAGTAGGTTGAATTAATGTGATGATTTTAAGTTTAATTATGATCCTTTACCTGTTATTTATGATCCTGTTGATATTTATACATTGCCATTTACAAGATTTAAAACGTATTGTGACAATTTACACAAAATGTTAACCCTTAACTGTAGTCGTGGGTCCAATGAGCCCAAGTTCGTTCTTTAAATTCGCATAGGATACGCTTTAGGCGACGCAGCTCTGCCTTCTCCATGTCACGCCAAAGCG